GAGTTTCCACCATATCCATATATGTATAAAGACTTGTATATAATGGCAAATGTTTCTCAACATTTGCCCCACTCGTTTTGGTGATTTGCCCAACGGGTTTAAAATAAAATAGACTTGTATATAATTCTTGATTGTTACGGAGTATTAGTTATTGAGTTGGTAGATGCTTCATCAAGATAGTAAATTTTTACATCTTTTGACTTTGAATTGATTTATATATTTTTCACCGTATTCTCTCTCTCTAGAACTTTAACGAATTATTTGACTGTCTTCCCGACCGAATTTTGAGCTGAAATTTGGTATGGATAAACTAGACTCGATGAGGAACATGCTCAAAAATTTCCATCCAAAAATTCCACCGGGAACCACCCTAAATGGAGGTGTTCGGACGGCGTTTGGACAGAAAGCCGTTGGACTTGAGAATTTGGGGTAATTTGAGTTTACACCCCATATCATTGTTTAAATTTGATTTTGCACCCTGTTTTTAAAAATCTTTGTTTTTGCAACCCAACCCCATATGAAAAGACAAATGTCCCTCCATTAACAATTCTGTGACCTTCAACATATTCCTGGTTGAGGTCATTTTTGTAAACAAGTAAAATGTTTTTATATTAACAATTCTGTGACCTTCAACCAGGAATATGTTGAAGGTCAGAGAATTGTTAATGGAGGGACATTTTTGTCTTTTCATATGAGGTTGGGGTGCAAAAACAAAGATTTTAAAAAACGGGGTGCAAAATCCAATTTAAACAATGATATGGGGTGCAAACTCAAATTACCCCTGAGAATTTCTCTTTCTCTTTCTTTCTCTCTCTCTCTCTCTCTCTCTCTCTCTCTATATATATATATATATATATATATATATATATATATATATATATATATATATATATATATATATATATATATATACTCCCTCCGGTTCTGAAAGATCTTTACACTTTCCATTTTTAGCAGTACCAGAAAGATCTTTACACTTCTTATTTGCCTTATTTGGCAAATAAATCTACACAAAATGGTGCCAAACAGTGCCAAACAGTGCCAAATAATGTTTATTTTCTTAAAAACTGTGAAGTCAAAGTGTCAAGATCTTTTGGAACCGGAGGGAGTATATAGGGAGTGGTTCCAATGAGAACACTCCTTATTGTAAGAAATGAGAATAAATCTTAACCATGCATCTTAGTAAATTAAAGACCATAAAAGGACTCATGGTGGGAGAGCAAACAACTTAAAAAAACCTTCCACTATCTAATCTATACGTAGTTTTTTTTGGAAGAATCTATACGTAGGTTAATAAAGGGCAATGGAGTATTTTCAATAGATCACTTACCAGAAATTTAGGAAGATATAAAAGGTCGAATCATATAAAATGTTGTAGTTTAAAAATTGATTTAACTTTTTAAATTATAATTTGATTTTAACAAAAATTATATCAAATTAAATAATTTTTTATTATCTTTTGTATGACACCAATATGTCATATATAAATTTGTTTTTAAAAAATAAGTATAATATGTACTACGCATATAATAAACCATAACAAACATTTTCAATTACTATATGTACAAGAATATGTATATGACACACAACCAATAATATCTAACACATAAGAACCACTATTTAACACACAATATGTATAAGAAAAACTAAAACAAGTATTATAAGCACAAAATTCAATGCCTAATGCATAATTAACTGTATCTGACACACAACAATTAAAAACTAATTAATATTTGAGGCATAAGGATTTCACACAACTTAAACTAATGTGTAGTATATAACACACAAGAATCAATATCTAATGCACAATATGAATACACTTCCAAGAACCGGTATTTGACACACAATCCATTTATGTAATGCACATGAACTTGTATCTAACACAAAAACAAAAAATATGTGTTGAAAAGTATAGTTATGATTAACAATTAAGGAGAGATGATTGAATGGAAATTGAATAAAAAGGTGATGATATTTTATTTTCTTAAATGAAAAAGTGAGATACGGTTTTTGTAAGATATAAAATTAAAAAACTAATATGATATGCGCTTTGTTCTTCCCATCCTTAAACTTGTGGAATGCATTAACTACATGATCCGTTGATTAAACTGCCAAAAAAAAGAATAATACGCAAATGCTCTCTAGTATCATTTACTCCATCCCAGATCGGCATATACTTTGGAGGGTGATGATTTGTTCTCACTTCTCACATTAAGGGGTGTTCTCATTTGAACCAATATATATAGGGGAGAGTTCCAGTGAGAATGGTGTCCCGGGAGAGAAATGAGAATAAAATCTAACCATCTAATATATTTAATCAACGATGAAGATTTGATACAAGTCACTAACGGCAATGTAGTAATTAGGTGGATGTTTGTGACTTATTCTAATGATATAACTAACGTATTTAATATGAAGGGCAATGATGTAATAAGTGTTACACTTGCTCCAAAATAATCCGATCACCAAAAACCCATAATAGGAAGTAGTCCTATTTTTAGGAGAACAATTACTACATGAGTAACGTCCACGTAACTAGTTCCTAGAATCATTTGATCTTAAAAATCTCCTTTTATTTGATTAATTTTCTGACATTAATTAATTTTTTTGAAAAAAATCTTTGAATTGTGCATTATTTTTGTGTGTTTAATCTATTACTTTCATATGCAATATTTCGTCAATGAAATGAACCTAGGTTTTTAGTTTGCACGTAAACAATGAATAGCTGCACTTTCATTGAAAAGATTATGCAACATCAATAAAACTAAATAATTAGTTTTTTTTATCTAATACTAATTTAGATATGCACCATTCAAAATTGAAATGAATCTAAATAGAAATAACATTTTTACTTAACTTTGTATGAATATGCACTTTTATAAATTGCACTTTTATATCATTTCTCTGCACTTTCTATAATACTTAATTACCTACAATTTACACATAAACTTTGCACTTCTATACATTCTTTTAAATCAAAATGATTTAAGAAATCAAAATAAATGTACAAGGGTGTTCACCATGTGCATTTTAAGTATACCATTTCAAAGTAGTATTATATCATACTTTCTAAAATTATACATTGGCACATTTTACCTAAATGAATTGCACTTTTAACAAGTGCACTTTAATATATACGTAGTATAAAAATGCACTATTTCTTCACAAATTCTAAAATTTTACAATGACCTTTTTATATAATGAAATGCTCGTTTTATTCTAAGTTCACCACAATTTATCCATTGTGATTGGGATTTTCTTATTGTGTTCCACACACACCGCTTTAAGGCCTTATTGTTAGGACAACATATATCATTTACGTCATTTGGATTGTTCAATGTGTTATACACCTTTCTTGAGGAATCTTTTATAGTGCAGCGGTAATAATACAATAGTGCATCATATACAAGTGCATTAATGCAAATCTTGAAAAATCGAAGAACAACATAATAAAATGATAGTGCATTAAATAATACATGTCAGTGCACTTGTGGGAGTTAAATGTCCTAGTACACACAAATTAAAACTAAAATTAAAATTTAAAAGTGCACTGAATAAAATAAAATAAAAAGCATGCACATGTATATTAAAATCAATATATTAAATAAATTTTAAGAATAATGTGATAGTCGGAAAATTAGGGTATATAGCAAAAACTGAAAAAATGAGAGTTGGTGAAGAAGCCGCATAAATTTTTAAAATTCCATTAATATATGAATTTTATCAATTAAGATTGACTTAAATTATGGAGTATATGATTTAAAAAAAACATGAAAATGGTACTATCTAAACTATACACAATATTTTCTTTTTATTGTAGAATACGTAGTATGTTCTAATATAAAGAAATCAACAACAAAGAGAAAAGAAGACGTGCACTTATCAACATTAAAAGTCATATTAATGGAAAGTAATTAATGATGATAAAAAATAGGAATGGTCAAATGATTAGAAAGCATTAAACGGAAGGAAACTAACGAATTGTCCATATTATCCACTGCGCTATTATTTAACAATAATTTTAAAAAGCTCAATCATTAGATTGTAATACATTCTTATTTCTCCCATAAGATGATATTCTCATTTGATCTCAAACCTATATATATATATATATATATATATATATATATATATATAATAAAGATAAGGTAATGGATGAGGTTTGCATGATTTCTCTCATCAAATCTCTAGGTTTAGACTTACTCGCCCGAAGTAGCCTACACTTTATTGTAATATGGGAACAACCTACAATACCTATGTGACAACCTTGACCCATCTAGATGGGCAAATATATGTGTTCATAACATAATTTTTTAAATCATAAAAAGGGTAAAAGCGTCAAATAGACTTTTCTATCATCTCTTATCCATCACTGAAGTCTCTGTTAAAAAAGTACTGGATGGGTATCTTTACTTTAAAACATAGTTAATCGAGACATTTTAATCTGCTATAACAGGTTATTTAAAAAAGTTAATTAATAAAATTGATAAATCTTAAAAAGTCATATAGATTGAAAAATACTGTAGTAATAATATAAAATATAATAAATTCAATAATAGATATTTTTTTAAAATGTTGAAAAAAATAAAAAATCAGAAAAAATAAAAAAATAAAGTGCAAGTGAAAGATGTAGAATAAAGAAACAGCTCAAAGAATACAAAAATAGACTTTGGCATTCTTAATTTTTTTTTGAATTTTAACAAATTCTTAATAAAATACATTAAAAACTTTGCTGTCACACGCCAAAAACAAGTTAAAAACTAGTAAGCTATCCAAGTGATTTATTGCAAATAGTAAAATCATCTATTTGATTATTTGTTTGAAAAAATAAACTAACTTTTTTGGGCGGATGAGATGGATCAAACGGGCTGAACCTGCTTTGTGGAGGTCTACCAGCCCATAGTTTTCAGAAATGCTTCGTCCCTTGACGTGAATTTTGGACCCAATGTATCATGTAACAATATACAAGTATAGGTAGTAGATTATTATTAATTCAAGCATTTGGGTCTATTTATCGCCTCTGAGTTTTAGCGTTGTGTTTGTTTTTTGTTCTTCCGGGCGTTATATAGCAAGGGGGAGAGGCAGTAGAGAGTAAAACGTTGAAGAAATATCAGTGAGAAAGATGATTGTTCTCTTTTGATCCCAACGATTGAACTGTTTTACGTTCAGCGGTAGTTAGATCTGCTGAAAGCTCTCTTTTCTTCGTCCTCAGATTTTCTTTCTGAAGAAAAAAACTTCTGAGTTGAGTTAACTGAATATCAAACTTATCTTGTCTTGCTGATCTTACTCTGTTTTATTCCATTGCGTTTTTGCTGATTTGTTTGTTCATTACTCTATTTTATTTTTCTTATATGTACAGCCATGAAGAGATTAAGGGATGATGATGTTTATGGTAGCCCTCAGTTTAAGAAGCCATTTAGCTCTTTACAGGGAGAGTCGTAAGTTCTCTCCTTTTTCTTTTTACTGTTGTTGCTTGTGTATCTAGTAATCTAGATGCTCATCATCACGCAAGTTTTTTACTAAATGGGTGTTTCAATTCCACGCGAGAGGTTTCATATTGTGTTTTATGTAAATCGTGCTGTCTTTATGCACAAAGTATGAGAGATTTCGGGATTTGATAGTTGTATGGTTGAACTGAGATCTTCAGATGAAATGGATTTTAGTTCCTAATAACGCTCCTCCTGTTCTATCTCTTGAACATTTAATTGCTGCAGTGCCCCTTTTGTTCTATCTCTAGGACATTTGGTCAAGTCTGTTTGCTAAGAGAATCTAGGGAGGAGCAGATGAAGTCTCAATATTTATTATTTATCCTTATGCGTTTTGGATCTGTATTTATAACCCATAACATCTTCAGTATTTTACTTGAAGTTTTTTCGGAAAACAAAGGATTAATTTGTCTATATATGCCAGTATTGATCTTGCTTCCATAGCGCAAAAATGTTTCTTGATCCAGATGCTGCAGACCGCAAACATATCACCTTCAGTCATCCATTTAAGAAGTTTCCAAAATGAACTATTTAATTAAATTTATTGTGAAACAACTTATTTGTTTTACATAATTTACATAATTGCATGAAAAGTAATAAATGGTGGACTTATCTGAACTGTGTTTCGTGGCACAAATTTAGTCTCAAAGTTGTAAAAAAGATAGTTGTCATTTGATTTTGATAAATAAAATATTGCGGCATCATTTTAATTCATGAAGATATGGGCAATCTCAAGTCCCTGGATGTGGAGCTGGTGACCATGGTAGCAATGGAGGAATTAGTGGTAGTTTAACCGGTAGTACTCAGAAGCTGACCACCAATGATGCATTAAGTTATCTGAAGGAAGTTAAAGATATGTTTAAAGATCAAAGGGATAAGTATGACATCTTTCTTGATGTTATGAAAGATTTTAAGGCTCAAAGGTATTTCATCGTCCTTCAGTGATCAAAATGCATATTACATGAAGTGTTGATGGATAAAGACTCTATTCACTTTGAATTTTGTGGTATTATAATGTTAAAAATATTTGGTTGCAGAATTGATACTACAGGTGTCATTATGAGGGTGAAGGATTTATTTAAAGGACATCCTAATTTAATTCTTGGGTTCAATACCTTCTTGCCAAAAGGCTATGAAATAACCCTTACTGATGAGGATGCAGTTCCTCAGAAAAGGACTGTTGAGTTTGAAGAAGCTATAAGCTTTGTGAACAAGATAAAGGTAACATTGTTGTAGACTTGTAGTAGAAGTTATGAATTATGATGTGATTTTGATTATAACCTGCTGCATGACAACTAATTGATGTACTCTGGACTTTAATTCCCTGCAGAAGCGTTTCCAAAGTGATGATCATGTGTACAAATCTTTCTTAGACATCCTGAACATGTATCGAAAAGAACACAAGAGCATTACTGAGGTGTACCAGGAGGTGAATGATATGTTTAATTAATTATGTCCATACCCTTTAGGAAAACTATTTGTTAGTGTCAACTGTTTATTTCTTATGCAGGTAGCTTATCTTTTCGAACAGCACCCAGACTTACTCAATGGGTTCACTAATTTTTTACCAAGTACTTCAGTAAATGCATCAGCTGCTCAACCTTCTTTTGTCAGGCAGTCTTTTCAACGTTTTGATGAGAAGATCTCTGCTATGCCTAACCTTCGTCCATCACATCTAGACAAGGTGTTCAAACGTTCACTCATTCTTTATGTTATTCAAATCATTATGTTGGTATTACTTGTTCCCTTGTATTAATTGTTGTATATGTATACACACATGCACACTATATAAGCATCAGCGTCTTCGGAGGGAACGGATCTCCATGCATCATGGACAGCATGATCATAGTGTCGAGCGAATTGATGTAGAAGATAAATCTATGCTGAAGATGCACAAAGAGCAAATGAGGCATTCCGAAAAGGAAAATATGGAAATGAGGAATTGTGATAATGAGTGTAAAGAACCTAAGAGCGCTAACAGTGGAGATATAAGCATTCATTGTCATCCAGAGAAAAGAAAATCTCTTCAGAATGATGAAGAATTGGGAGGGAGCATGGCATCTTATGATGACAAAGATGCCTTGAGAAGTAAGGAAATAAATCTTATTTGACAGATTTGTTAACTTATTTCAGTTATATCTTTAATGTCTTCTCTTGGATTTCCTAATTTTCATGTTGTGAACTTCACTTTTTTAGAAAAAACTTTAGGTCTTTAACTTTTCTATTTAACATATTTCACTCAATTGTCCTAGGCATGTATAGCCAGGAATTTACTTTCTGTGAAAAGGTGAAGGAAAGGCTGTGCAGTTCTAAGGAATACAATGCATTCTTACACTGTCTCAATATTTACAGCACAGAAATAATTACAAGAGATGAACTACAAAGTTTGGTATGTGCATCAGACTTTAGTTAAAAAACTTCCAGTTTGACAATTATTAATACAATTTATGGTGCTAAGTTTGGTAAAAAAGAGTCATGTTTGGTTGCGGTGCAGCCTTGTTTGAATTGTTTGTTGGTGTAACTAAATTTTTCATACTTGTTAGTAATTTCTATTTGGAAAGTTGCATGAAAAGTTAATTTCACTCACCAAATATGACTTATTTTGAGGGACAAAAGCTGTTGAAACACATTTTTTTCCGTTTTGGGACAGAGAGAGTAACATGTAACTACTGCATAACAACTAACAATTATTTTGTATTTTGATCAGTATTTTAACTATAATTGTTTTTATCACCTCTAAACAAGTAAGCATCCATGTACCAGTGACAAGAATCTCAAAGCGCGTTTAAAGTTTTGGAAGGATTCCGAGGTTCTAAAAAGCTAATTTGGGTTTGAGGATTTTGCATTTATATCACAAGACGTAAACCTCGAGGAAAAGGCCTCATATATAAAATATCCCCTCTGTCCTAATTAATAGGGTCAAATTCTTACATGGGTTTTAAGGGAACAAATGATATGCGAGTAATTTTCTAGTTCTACAGTCCAGACTAGTCTTTTTTCATAAAAAGGTCTGCTGGTATCTCAACCTGTCAAATCATAAAGGGAAGAGTAGGAAAAATTAATGTTAGTAGTGTTTAGAAAGGAATCTGGATATAATTGTGTGACAACTTAAAGAGGAAAGTGAGACTTATAAAATGAGGCAAAGGGAGTAGTAAATAATGCCTATTATAAAATTCATGAAAGTAGGTGAAAATAATAATTATACTAATATGTATCTTTTAGTACACACTCCCTCCCTCCCATAAAGCTTGGCAAAACTTGATTTGCACGTGGAATAAAAAAGTAAAAATTGTATGGTTCGGATGGTGCAAAGGAGAGAAATAAATTTTGCCACAAATTTATTACTTTATATGAAAATGGCAATGCTTTTTAGGACGTCTAAATAATGAAGGTTGGATGTTTTTTTTGTGTCAACTCATTGGAACCCTAAACCCGGCAACGTTGGGATGGAATGATTATATGACTAAATAGCTTATATCTCATAATAACAACTATAACCACATGATAAAATTGTAAAACTCATCATAAAATCAAAACCCAAAGTTTTACTCTTAAATGCAAACAAACATAGTAGCCAAAGAGGTTTTGGTTCTGATTATCGTCATCCCTGCTGTTATCCTGTAACTAAAAGAAGCTGTAGTACTAATGAAATGCAAGTCATATTAGGCCCAAACTTGGTCTCAAAACAGCTCATTTTGTAAAGAGGCATATGCCTCATGTAGTCACATGCCTTCTGAAGCTTATGACTCTAGCTGTGTGCCTCCGGTAGCTGAGGTGTCAACTTTTCCTTTACAAGGGGAAGTGGAAGTTTCCGAGCATTCTGGGCTCTTCATTTTATGGCGCACCTCAAAAGCTTTTTCTAAACTATGTGACTAACAGTTTCCATGGATAAAACCACATCATATATTCCTTTATGTTGTTACTCCATTCTGGTTGTTATAGTGAGGAGGGTTGATTTAAGTACTGATTTCAACTTTCAATTGGAGTAATCCCAAATAATTTGAAAATTTCTTATATTTCAGGTTACTGATTTACTTGGAAAACATCCAGATCTCATGCAGGGATTCAATGAATTTTTAGAGCGTTGTGAGAAAGTTGGTAATATAGAAATCTTAACATGGGTATTTTACTGAAAATGCATTTATCCATTTCCCTGCTAATTATTTAATTAATGTCTTGTTCAGATGGCCTTCTGGTTGGTGTCATGAACAGAAGTATGTGGCAGTTATATTTTTGGAGTGTAACATTAAAACTTTTTTATTTTCATTGTGTTTATAATTATCTGATGTTCCGTTGATAACAGGTTCTCTGTGGACTGAAGGAAATGCTCTAAAACCAGTGAGCTCGGAGGATAAAGACAAAGAACACATGCATGTAATAGATGGTAGCGAGAAGGAGGACCAATTCAAGGAAAAGTACTGGGGAAAGTCAATTCAAGAGCTTGACCTTTCTGACTGCCAACGTTGCACTCCTAGCTATCGGCTACTTCCGGAAGATGTAAGAACTAAGAGACATTTATATGGAGTATAGTCTTTCTTTATCTATGTGGTATATCTGTTCTTGATAATATCATATGAGTTGGGCAATGGACATGGATCTCGCGGGTGATAATGGCTGTATAAGTTTGCTAAGTTCCATGAATTAACCTTAAGTGAAATGCCTTACATGCTTTCAAGATTGATAGTTTTTCATCCAAGATAAATTTTCAGTTGAAAAATCTACACAACTCTTTTTGACCTGTCTAAGTATAATGTATATTGGAAAGGACCCACTCAAACTTATAGAAATGGTCATTCTTGGTATTTTATCAAACTTTAGCTAAATTTGCAACCCTTTCTAGATCACACGTGACCAGTTTTACATAATGTAATGCCTCTAATAGCAAAGGGGAAAAGATGAGGTTCATTAGTAACACATGCTTATATCAATATATCAAATTTGTGTATCATGCAGTATCCAATACCTACTGCGAGCCAGCGATGTGATCTTGGAGCTCATGTCTTAAATGATCATTGGGTGTCCGTGACGTCCGGAAGTGAGGACTACTCTTTCAAGCACATGCGCAAGAATCAGTATGAAGAAAGCTTGTTTAGATGTGAAGATGACAGGTATAATGATTTGACATTGTGTTGTAAAGAAAAAGTTAGGATTAAGGGGAGTAAAAATAAGAGTTGAAACTAGAAAGAGAAGAAGGGAAAGAGGTCAGGTTGCTACCTTTGTATCTATATAGTTTTTGAACACTATAGTTGTGTTGGTATATACCATGGATATAATTGGGGGGTTAAGACACCAATATTACTAAAAATTAACTCATGGACAAAAAAGTGACCTGCTACAGTAACCAATGCGTTACTGACTTACAGTGACCTAATTGACCAATGCGTTACAGACTTACAGTGACCTAATTGACCAATGCGTTACAGTGACCTATGTCACAGTGAATATATTCCCAGTGACCGATGACACAGTGACTATATACCCAGTTACCCATGCCACAGTTACCAACACTTAGTGACCCAGCTTGAGTGACATCCCGACTACAGTGACATCTTGCCCCAGACCACCCCGATCTCAGTGACCAAAGTGCCGGTTACCAACGCTCAATGACAATCGTCTCATTAACCACCCGAGCTCTAGTGACCACCCGATCACAGTGACATCACTACCCCGCCAGTGACCAATTGATGTCTGCCATCTCCGAGCATTGCTGCCCCAGCCCCGCCCCTGACCCCACCCCTGCCCCCTGCCCCACAAGTCATCCTCTTCCCAAGTCCCAACCAGCCCACCCCAACCCCGCCCATGTCACACTACACTAGCCAACATTACCTCGCTGCCGACACCAGCACCTCACTGGCGACACTGCGGTCATCACCTCCGATGGTGACACCACCTCTGCCCTCTACCCCCGCCCCCTCCCCAGTTCCCAAAATTACTATTTCCCCAGCCCAACCCTAGCCTCAAATGCCCTAATCTGGATCTAGCCCATCCACCGCCACCCTGATTCAACCTATAACCTCAAAATCCTAGCCGCCGGTCCTCACACAAATCTGGAATGAGGACGACGATGGTGTGCTCCCGTGTTCGACCTCGCCCCTGTATCTCATCAATGCTTAATTGATCGTACATAAAATAAGAAAAGGAGAAGACAGAGTGGGGTGGGACGTGGGATGTGACGGTGGAGGCAACGACGTAAGATGACGGCGGAGACGCCAGTACCACATCGAGGCAAAGCTTGAGCGAAAATGAGGTGTCAGTGCGACGGAGGTGCTGCGACGATGGAGGAGCTTCGATGATCGCAGAACTCGACTGATGCAGCGGTCGTGGATGTGCGGCTGCAGGTGAGCGGATTCAGACGAGAACATTTGGAATTTGGGAATTAGGGTTTGAATCATATTATATGAGGGGTGTATCTGTCCATTCATTTATAATTAGTCATATTTTTGTCCAGATTTAAAATAGGACTTATTTTTGTCTTTTAGAAGTGTGGTAGTATTATATCCGTCATTATTTCTATAATTGGGTCTTTACTTGATAATCTCAGATTTGAGCTAGATATGTTGCTTGAGTCTGTAAGTTCAACTGCTAAGCGTACAGAAGAATTGCTCAATGGTATTAATGATAGTAAAATTGGTTCAGATGGTCCGATTCGTATTGAGGATCACTTTACAGGTACTGATTTTGCACCAAAATTATACTTTAGTGGATGCAAATCACATTTTGTTTTACTTCGCTTCATGATAAAATTTGCTGATCAAGTTGGTCCTATCCCCCCTGCTAGCATTGAACTTAAGATGCATTGAGCGTCTCTATGGGGATCATGGCCTGGATGTGATGGACATTTTGCATAAAAATCCACCACTTGCATTACCTATTATATTGACCCGTTTAAAGCAGAAACTAGAGGAGTGGACCAAGTGTCGTTCAGATTTCAACAAAGTTTGGGCTGATATCTATGCGAAGAACCATTACAAATCGCTTGACCATCGTAGCTTCTATTTCAAGCAACAGGACTCAAAGAACTTGAGTACAAAATGTAAGTTGAGCATATGTATATTTGTGTGATAAGTGATGTTGGATCTTTCTTTCAATCCTTTTTTCGTACTTGTGTCAATTCCTCTAGATGGGGGCAGTGACCTGCTTCTACCAACTGCGAAAAATGATGGAAGCTATGATATTATGCTTCCTTGTGACAGTTTGATTTGCTATAGGCTCTCATATATCTTGTTTTGTCATTCTTAGATATTTATATGCTTGGTGCATTTAGTTACTGTGCTGACTTTGGAATGTTTGTTAACACTCCCCCCCTTGTTTTCATTTTTCATAATTTGTGAAACAGAACATAAAGTAAATAAGTAATGTGACTAGTGTCTGTATGCTTTATTTTTCATTAAAAACAAACATTTCATAGCAGCTGCTGTGCACATGTTTATTTCCTAAATCTTATACTTTTAAGTAAAATCTTGTTGATGTAGCAGTATCAACCAACCAATTTCTTTTAAACTAGCCACCTACCCAGCCGATACTGTGCCTCAACGTCCTGCTAACTTCTTCTGATCCACTCAATATTAACCTTAGTTCATTCCTGTCAACGGTTAACACTTAACACTGCCTAGCATATTCATCTCCTCCCCATCCCACTCCACAAAAATATCCTTCCACATTTATCAACTCCGTTTTGACACTTTTGTAGGCTCAACTGGCTACTCCCTCCTACTCTAGCTATCCTACCAAATTACCCTGGTCTGCCCGCAACCCACCTTCTCACTTGGCTTTGCCCAAACTTGAACAGATAAGAAACATAAAAATAACAAGGGTGTGAAATGGACTCAAATATAAACAAATGAAGAGTGGGAGATGGGATCGTCTATGATTGCATTATGTTTGCATCTACTATGGACTGTTCTCAAATTATGTGGCTGTGCACTGTTCTCAATTAGTTCATTATGGATTGTAACAAAATACATTGTTTTACTAGTTTTTAAACTTCTGGTTTTGAGACTTCCGTGGTATTCACTTCAATGTGTAAATAGTATATACCATGTTCATTTCAATTGATGTTTTTTCCTTTTAATGACAATCCTCTTGCTTCTGATGGATGGGCAGCGCTCTTGGCGGAAATAAAGGAGATGAAGGAGAAAAAGCAGAAAGATAATGATCTTCTTCTTTCTATAGCAGCTGGCAATAAACATCCCATAATCCCAAACCTTGAATATGAATATGTTGATCTTGAAATCCATGAAGACATATATAAACTTATAAAGTATTCTTGCGAAGAGATTTGCTCGACAAAGGACCACTTAAGTAAAGTAATGAAGCTCTGGACTACATTCCTTGAGCCAATGCTGGGAGTTCCATCTCGTTTTGATGGTTCAGCAGCCGTCAAAGAAGATGTCTCCTCAAAGCATTGTGTTATAAAGTGTAATAAAACAAACATTGGTGAAAGTGATGGAACTCTTAATGCTGCTGCAAGAGCACAGGATTCCAAGCAATCAAAAGTTGTCTGCACTGGAAATGCAATTACATCTCCCCAACATTTGACTTTCCAAAAAGCTAGCTTGCGAAACCCAGATGTTTCAGCTAAAGACAGATTAACAGCAACTAGTGAACACATAACTAATTCTGGTGGAGGAATGAATATGAATACGTCAGGTAAAACATATTTTGGACAGATTTTATTTTTGGCACTCTGGTCAGATACCACTCATTATGATTCACAACTAAGGTGTTGATTACTTGTGACTTATTGGACTTGATGAGAATATGAACTTTTAATCGCTTGGCCGTGTTTTCTTACGACTTAATTGAAAGCACGACTTATTCATTCAGTAAAAAACAGACCTGTAATTAATAGTACTTCCCATTGAGACACCTATTAAGACGTCTATTCAGCCAAAATTTTCAATCGATTATGTAATAGATTTATGTTAATAAATGAAATTGCTCATTGACATTATAACCCAGTAATAATATGAAATTGATTATTTTACTCAATTCAAATTGTTTATTCAGCACACAAAATAAATGTGTTTACTCAGCCTCATACAAATAGTATTTAATCCAGATAGACATCTTAATCCAGACATGACTTGTTAGAAATAAAAGTAAACAATCTCTAAGTAAGACTCATATCAATCCAAAGCTGAGAATCTGAGATAGTGTTAGGCCTACGTGATGGAGCTTCCTCTGTGCATATTGATCCATTTACTAGGCCTACACACTAGCTTATCCAGGAATTATCGTTGGGGGGCGAACTCGCACTGGCTATTGTCTCACACATGTCACAAATAGTGATCACATTAAGAAAAATTGTGTAAAATTAATATAAGTATCAATATATTCGTGGGATAAAAATATAATAATATTATACTTGAAAATTTCATGGCAGATAAAATTTGACTTTGCTAACAATAAATTTTAATCATACAATTTTTCATTTATTCAAATGTATGTTAACAAATCGAAGAATGAAATAAGGAATGAATCAAATATGTATTCACAATTAACTTAAGTTGAGAATGCACATGTAAATTAAAAAAAATATCAATTTATATCAAGTGTAAAAATGCAATTGTCAAACCTCTCAATTTATATGTGAAAACTTAAATTGTAGTTATATTGAAGTAGTTCAAACAAGACAAGATTTGAATAAAATTATGTAAAGTCATTTGAATTAGTTTAGAGCATAAAAAAGGCAGAAGTAAAAAACAAAACAAACAAAGGTAGCTGGGAATCGAACCACTGCACGATTCCCAAAACAAACAAAACAAATGCAGATTTCCAAAACAAAAGGTGCTTTGGAAACTTACTACACGATTGGAACGCTTAGTCCACTCCGCCAAAGCAGTTCTATGTTATAAGTTATAACATTTGTAATTAATGTATTACATACTTATATTTAACCCTCATATATAAATGTATGATTTTATAAGTGGCATTGTAGTTACACACCATACCTGTTTGAGGTGAACCAAGACTATTTGTTTCACTGAGAATATTTTCCACGACTTTCCATCATTTGCAATGGAGCCAAAGGCTCACTATTTTTTGGCTTGGAAATATGATGGAATAAGGCAAAATGGTTCACTAAACTGTCTGCTCTTCTTTGTTGTGAAGTAGCAGTCGGTCCCTGCGACTTTCAACGTGATTTTCACTACGGGTCATCCGGAAACAGTCTCTTTGTGCTTTAGTACATGAGTAAGACTATATACATCCGACCCCCCTTACCCCATGGGAGCCTTTGCGGCACTGGGGTAATGATGATGATGAGAACATTTTCCACGAAACGAATTTTCAATTTTTTTTGCGCCGAGGGGAAATTGAAGTTCTCCAGAAGGAGAACATTTTCCTTGTTACTTTGCTATTGTGTGGGAAAAATGAATTCATATAAGTTGTTTTACTTCTGTTTGTTGAGGTCAACCCTTATATTACACACAGAACAACTTTAATATCCAGGAAACCATTTTCAGCAAACATCAGAGAAAACTTTCAGCAAACAAATGATGCACAAGCTTTTTGATTACCATTGGTACATATTGTGGACTATGATTGTACCTTTGCTATTGCTCTTTAAATAAACTGAAGTTTGGTGAGCGTATGAGTGAATGTAAAGCCTATACAATTCATTTCCTGCTATTTGTTGGAATCATTGCTAGACCGGCTTGAGTTTTTTCATTGCTATTTTCGTATCATGCAGCTCATAGTACTGGTCCTTGTTATGGTACTGTTGAGGATTGCAAGGGAACCAAGTCTAAAATTGATGGCATTCCAGCATCAGAGGTATACGGTGGATGGGCCCATTCATGTTTTGAATGGCATTGAGTTTTGTGATTACTATTTCATATTTATTGATATTCATTTTCTCTTTCATGTGATAGGGAGGTAATAGTCCACGTACTACTGCTAAAACAAAAGGAAGATTTGCTGAAGGTTTTAGAGTTGATGCAGATTCTCTTTCTCCTTCAAAAATTGAGAGAGAAGAGGGTGAGCTTTCACCTAATGGTGATCATGAAGAGGACATTTTTGTTCATAGAGATGTCGCTTTACGTGGGCGTGTGAGCAGGCCATACCATACTGTAGCTATCAAAGATACTTGTCAGAGTGCTGCATGTGATAATGATGCAGATGCTGGTGATGGTAGTGAAAATGCTTCCATGGACGGTGATGACGTTTCAGGTAGTGAGTTTGCTACAGAAGAGTGTTGTAGAGAAGAACAAATGGATGATGACCATGGAGAACGAAATGAGGGTGACCTTAAAGCTGAGAGTGAAGGTGAAGCTGCAGGTGTGAGTAAAGCAAACACAGTTGTGGGAGATGGCTCATTGTTGCTAATGTCTGAACATTTCCGGGTTATTTCTAAGCCTCTAACTAAGAGTGTGGTGTCATCATTGTATGGAGATGAGCAGATATATCCACGTGTATTTTATGGAAATGACAACTTCTATGTGCTTTTTCGGCTTCACCAAGTAAGAGTTTCCTTTATCTCTATGTTTTTTTGACTTGGAATATAAGATATACCACTTTTCTCATATTTTTCAATCATGCCCCCCCCCATGATCACATGCAGACATAGTAACTACAGTAACTGAGAATTAGCTTTTATAGAACTACTTAGTTGGTTTACTGACACTTCAGGTGCAACGTTCTTCTCCCCTCCTTCCAGATCTTGTATGAAAGGCTACTGTCTGCAAAGCTGAATTCGGCATCCTCTGAATCAAAATGGAGAATAGGAAATGATAACAGTTCTGATCCCTATGCCAGGTCCATCTGAAAGTACCATATTTTGTAGTGTCAAGTCAGAACTACTATTTGTTTACAATATTTGAGAGAATATGCTACCTGTACAGGTTCATGAGTTCATTGTACAGTTTGCTTGATGGGTCTGTTGATAATGCAAAGTTTGAGGATGATTGTCGGTCAATAATTGGGAACCAGTCTTATGTGCTTTTTACACTAGACAAATTGATATACAAGGTGGTCAAACAGGTAGCCATCACATAATTAATTTGCTGCACATTGTTGTTTATTTGGAAACAGAACTTACACAGCTATTATTTTTCATTTAGCTACAAGCTGTTTCAAGTGACGAGCTGGACAGTAAGCTTCTTCAGTTGTACGAGTATGAAAGATGTAGAAAACCTGATATGTATGTTGACTCCGTCTACTATGAAAACATTCATGTTCTCCTTCATGAGGAGAACATTTACCGTGTTGAATGTGTATGTTCTCTGCAACCAAATCACCACTCTTCTCACTACAAGCACACACACACACACCAAAAAGTTAAGGACTTAAAATGAAATAAAAGGATAAATGATCTCTTCCAGCCCCCAAAGGTGCTCTTCACTGATACCATACTACTTTTCTTCTTGTAGAGATCCTGCCCAACAAGCTTGTCCATCCAATTGGTGGATGATGTAAATGATAAGTCTGATGTTGTTGCTGTAACTATAGATCCTAATTTTGCGTGTTATCTCCACAATGATTATCTTGCACTGGAACTTGGGACAAGGGAGCCGTCTACAATTATGCTTAAGAGGTACCTTGTCTTCCACATATATCATGGGACATACAAATCGAAGATGGGAAGGATAACACCATGGGGGACATGTGATGGCATTGCGTCTCTTAAACCTCTGTTGAGTTACCCTTGATACGCACATGGCGTCTCTTAAACCTCTGTTGAGTTACCCGTGATGCATAAAAGTTTTAGCATGTTCTTAAATTGCTATTATGTTCACCTTGGTGCAAATATATGATCAATTCATTTGTTACTTCAAAACGTGTTTTTTGCTTGCTTGCTCGATTTTTGTGGTAATGATGCAGAACTCTTATTTATGTTAATGCAGATTATCTTGGTCTCTTTTTTGTATAGCACTGCTAAGATCAATAGATTTTCCATCATTTGCAATGGAGCCAAAGACTCAATATTTTTTGGCTTGGAATATGATGAAATAAAGGAAAATGGCTTACTAAACTGTTTGCGCTTCTTTGTTAGGAAGCAGTAGTCAGTCCATGCAATTTTCGACGCAATTTTCACTATGGGTCATCCGGAAACAGTCTCTATGTGCTTTAGTACTTGATTGCTGAATGAGTATTTTGAATATCTGATGTTTTTATTGTTGGACCATGGACAGAAACAAAAGAAAGTACGCCAACCTTGATGAATCTTCTGCTCATTGCATGGCTAAGGAAAATGTTTACAGTTTAAATGGTCTGGAGTGCAAGATGACATCACATTCATCCAAGGTAATCAACATCCAATAGGATTCACATTGCATTCATGATGTTTTTGTTGGAAAGACAAGGAACCAAAATCACTTGACTACTCTATCTGTTCATGGCACACAATTTAAGCAACAAAAGTTACCACCCATGGTTGTCCAATACTAATCTATTTCGCTTATGTGCCTTTAGAGAAATACATGCTAAATATAGGGCCGGTTTGGAAATGGAAAATATTAGAGGGGCAAACGGCAAGGAAAATAGATAAGATAACTGGAAAGGAAATTTAGGAGAAAATAAAACATAAGATCAAACTTAGTATTTTTTTTATATATTTTAAAAGTCATTTTAATAATTTATTTATTTGATCATATAATATTCCATCATTTGCAATGGAGCCAAAGACTCACTATTTTTTGGCCCGGGAATATGATGGAATAAAGCAAATGGGCTCACTAAACTGTCTGCGCTTCTTTGTTATGAAGCAACAGTCAGTTCATGCAATTTTTGACGCGATTTTCACTATGGGTCATCCGGAAATAGTCTCTTTGTGCTTTAGTACAGGGTTAACACTGCGTACATCCGACCCCCCCTTACCCCACTGTAGGTGGGAGCCTTTGTGGCACTGGGGTAATGATGATGATGATTTATCTGATCATATAAAGACTTGTAATCTAAATATATTTAAAATAAAACAATAATCATTTTTTTTCTCATTTCCAAATAAAGCTAAACAAAATAAACGATTTTGCTCAGCATTTTTCGGTTCCCTAGTATTTTTCTGGATCTAAGCATTGCAAAGAGGATTGGGGACTGGCGAAAGTTTGCTTCCTAACACCAGCATGTCTACTTTTTGCAGATATCCTATGTATTTGATACAGAAGACTTCTTTTTCCGTATGAGGAATAAAGGAAAGACATTAATTCGGAGACCATCATACCATGACCAAGCTAGAGTAGATCGGTTCCACCGTCTTCTAACATCTTCTCTAAGGCTGTAAAAAATCACGACGGCAGTACATACAATCATTCCTTCACATATACACCTTTCGTTAACATATGGTTCGTGTTTCATGGATCTTGTCCCCTGCTTTGCAACACCTTTGTCTATAAATGCACAAAGCTCTTGTCAACAAGCCCAGGTTTCGGTTTTGATAGATAGTCCAAGATAACCCACAGGATTTGCCGTCTTGAGTTTACTTCAGACAGGACAAAAGTTGATCAGGGAGCCAAGTCCTCGCAGTGACCAAACTTCTTTTTATGGTCACATATCGATTTGCTTTTAACCGATGTTTTTTTTAATGTAAATATGCTTTGCAGTCTTATTTGAGGCGCTCATTTATCTGTTTTGGATGTCCAATAACCTTCACATTGAGCTCCTACTATAGCAGCTTCTTCTAGTGCCCCCAAGCTGAAGGATTCGGTTAATCCATACATTTTTCTGTTTGAGTGAATGATCACAAAGTTGAAAGTAGTAAAGCATAAGTGCTGTTATTCGTTACATGGACTTTTGTCATTTATAAAAATAATTCGTTAATTTGTCGTAGTTATTAAATTATTAACTACTACCTCCGTCCCACTAAGATTGGGATGAGAGAAAGTGACACGATTATTAAGAAAAGTGGGTTTGTTTGGTTGATATTAAATTGATAAAGTAAGAATGGTTTAGAGCCACATAATCTTTACCAAATTTGGTATGAGACAATTTTAGTGGGATTTTCCGAAAAGGTAAAATGGGACAATCTTAGCGGGACGGAAGAAGTATTTATTTGCTTGAATGGTGGGTTGAATACAGATGATGGCCACTAGCTCTGGATAGGGGTGAACTCTAAACATAATTGGTTTGGGACTGAATTGGTGTTTATATTATAACTGAACCTGTGATTGATTCTAGATCGGGAATTAGCACTCGAACTTTAATGCCGGTGTAATTCTAGGTAATCACTAGGGATGGACCCGGGCCGGTCCGGTTCCGGGCTGGGTCCGGGCGGGCTTTTTTTGCAAATACTTGGGCCCGGAACCGAACGGGTTGATACCGGCCCGGCTCGGGCCTGGTTCAATGTCTAATTAATTTTTTTTTGCTTTCTTGTTATCCCCCGACCCCCCTCACCTCCCTAAAATACCCAGCCCTACCCTAGGAAAAGAAAAAAATTGAAAAAAAATATGACCCGGGCCCGGCCAATATCGCTCGGGCCGGTTCGCCCAAAACTGGGCCCGAGCCCGGCCCGCCTGACCCGCCCAAACGGGCTAAAAGCCCGGAACTGGCCAACCGGTCTCGGTCCGGTCCGGGCCTGCACAGTAGCGGTTCCGGGCTAGCTCGGTTTAGACCATCCTTGGTAATCACCATCGTAAAATTTTTAGGGAAAAATGTCAAATAGGCCTCCCTACTATTAGGAAAATGTCAATTAAATTCCTGAACTAAAAGAACACCCAATTAAGATCACCAACTATGCAAAAACGATCAAAATTCAAGTTTAGAAGGTTAATTTCCGGTCAGTCGGTCACTTGGTTATGTGGCAATCCAAGTGGCACATTTTTAATGTTTTTCATTTTCTTTTTTTCTTCGTTTTCTTCTGTCCGCCCCCACCTTTCCCTCCCCCTTCTTTCATCTTCTTCAACCCTCCCCCCCTCCCCACCCCTCCCCTCCCTTCTTCTTCTAAAGCCCGCCCTTGCCCTCCCTTCTTCTTTTACAGCTAGCCCTCCCCTCCCTTCTTCTTCTACAGCCCGCTCCTCCCCTCCCCATCCCTTCTTCTTCTTCTCAAGCTCTCCATGTAGATCTTCGCTTATCATCTCATGGTATGGCCGCCCAAACAGGGTACACCTTTGTCGGTCAAATTAAAGTTGCGACACTTTTTCTTTTGTATCTATCAGTACCCAAACAAAGCTTAAAAGAGTTTCAGCTTTCAACTTTCTTTTGATTTAGTCAATTCTACCGTCATTTTGTTTTACCTTTCAAACAAAATTCTGAAAGTGGAGCTTTCCATCTGACATTAAATTAAATTGATAATTATTTGTTTAATGAGATGGTTGATAGCTGGGCACGTGGAGAGCAGTGGAAACTAGTAAATTATACGATGTGCTAAAGCCACATCGTCATCTCCAACAGTTGAAGGATCAGATTTTGAATTTAATTTCTTAGGTATTTAGTTGGTAAAAATGAAAGAAGATGAATAAAAAACGGGTGTGGAAGACAAAAGAAGAAGGGGGACGACGACAAAGAACAAAGAAGATGGAGAATCGAAAAGAAGAAGAAAAAAACAGTAAAATAATACACTTAGACTGGCATCGCAAGGACTCTGACCAGCTAACTCTAATTTGACCGGTTAAATTTGAGTTTTGACCGTTTTTGTATAGTTCATGTCCTTAATTGGGTGTTCTTTTAGTTCGGGGTTTAATTGACATTTTCCTAATAGTAGGGGGCGTAATTGACGCTTTTTCCAAAATTTTATGATGTGATTTTTTTGAAAGAAGATTAGTTATTCATTAATAATGAAAAAGAGATGAAACAATATGATAGCTCAAGGCTACACTGGAACGAGACATAAAATTTGGGATGAATTGGGACGGGTCGACGCGATCCGGGCCCGGCCTGATCTCGACATTGTATAGTTCCGGCTTGGCTCTGTCCTCTTTAGGCTCAAAGCCCGGTTCGATCCCGGCCCGGTGGCTATAAGGGCGGGCTTCAGGCTCGTTCTTTTAGGCCTGACCCGGTCGGAGTTCCAAGGCCGATTGTACTATTTTTAATTAATTGCCCAGCCTTGTCCCGGCCCGGTCCCGACCTGGTACTGTTTAGGCTCGTTCTTTAATACATTACTCCGTATTTATTAATGTATGAGATTTTTTGAAAAATACTATTGAATTCGTCTTATTACATATTTTCATAATCCGATTTTAAATTTGTAGTATTTGTTAGCAGAGGAATGATCTTGTCCAGCCGGAGGGACAAGATGCTCCATCCGGCCGTCGCCGTTTGGGGGTGGTTTCCGGTGGAAGTTTTTGATAATTTTTTTGAACATGTTCCTCGTTAAGTTTAAGTTTATCTAAAAAATCAACTAAAAATTTAATCGAGAAGACTGTCAACTAATTTTTTGAAGATAACTGCGCTAAAAATAAGCTAAAATATGTATATTTTAGCGCAATTATCTTCCTAATTGAATTCGTAGCTGAAATTTGTATAAATTTATTTATACACAACATACAAACCAGATTTCATCAGATAATTCTACAGTGAACCGCCCAAACGGCAGCAGTCCAATAAGAGAGTCTTGTCCCTCTGACTCTGGCTAGACAGATCTTCTCCGTTTGTTAGTAATATTCCCTCCGTCCCGAATTGAATTGCAAACTTTGAGCGGCACAAGAATTAAGAAATGACAATAAATAATGTTTGCTTTTTACACTTTTGCTCATCTTTCTAGAAGTAGATGCATTTGAGTTAAATTAATGGGGAAAAGTAAAATTAAGAGTAAATTTGTCACTTTATTCTTATTTACATGCATAAAATAGAAAGTGTAAAACCATTTTGGAACAATCAAAATAGGAAATTTTGCAAATCAAAATTAAATGCCATGTCAAAAAGGGCGTAAATCGAAATGTTCAAATAGCCCTTTACACGCAGCTGCTTCGCATCTTCCGAACACTCATCCCAGACGAGAGTCGAGCGAACGAGCGGCCAGGCTGCGACCCACACCACCAACCGTTGCTTCCGACGACCACGCCCTGCTCGGATGCCCCTGCGTCCGTCCGCCGCAGCGCTGCCGCACTACTCAGCCTGGTAACACATCACAGACTTTCTCAAAACTGCTCTCCCTTTTTTCTCTTAGACTTCTGAACTAGTCCACTTGCAGGAGTTGTAGATTGTCCGTCTTTATGTAAATATTCTCAGAACTGTGCAGAAGGGGTGCTAGTTTATCTTTTTGCAGAATTATGCCGATTTGGTTGAAGTGCTAAAGTTCATTTTTTTTGAAATAAAAGAAAATGTAATATGAAATTCTAACAAATAATGAGAAAGGGATTGACTATATTTTGATTGATAACAATTGAAGTTGAAGGTATTAGTTGTTCTCTACTTCTCTAATACTTAGAATATATTATACTACCTCCCTACCGGCTACCTCTAACATTGGGATAACATTGGGACGAAAGAAAGGGACACGATTATTAAGAAAAGTGGGTTATGTGGTTGATATTGAATTGATAAAGTAAGAATAAAGTAAAAATGATTTAGAGTCCACAAACTTTACCAAATTTGGTATGAGACGATCTTAGTGGGACTTCTTGAAAAGGTAAAATGAGACAATCTTAACGGGACGAAGGAAGTACTGAGTACAAAATTAATGACAATATTGCGTCATTGGTGCTTGAATACTGCACCCTCATATATCACAATGAATTAAATGATTTTGGCTTGTGAGTACAAAAAGAATTTCAGAAATCACGAGTCCCACCTTAATCGCATTTGGCAATAGGCACTGTGATTAGTGTTTGGAATATTTGGACTAAATATACCTTTGGTTTTCTACTTTTTGGAGTATAGCGTCAGAGATTTGTAATGATGCGTTGAACGTCTATTTTCTCTGGAGGTAGTAAGGTAGTATAACGACAAATCCTAACATAGGGTTTCGTCTGGTATATCCTAGATAAATCCCTTTTACAACTTCTTGCATAATCTGTTGGAGCGGGTTGTTTAGAAATACTGAGACTCCTCCTGTTTGATTGCTTCAAGATAGCATTTCAATTGAGTTTGTGTTTTTTGACTTTGTTCAAGCTTTGTTTTTACCTTGGTGATTTATTGAAAATTTGGTTCAAGCATTTTTTCCTTTTGTGGTTCAGTTGCTTAAAATTTGTTTTTTCAGTTTGCCTTTGCCATTGTACTCCCTCCGTCCCTAAATTATCTTCAAACTTTCCTTTTTCGTCCGTCCCAAAATTATCTCCTCTTCCCCCTTTTAGCAAAAAATTTGTGGTTCACAACCATTCTTACACATTCTTACACATTTCTCTCTCCTCTGCACAACTCTCCACCACACAAATCCCACTATCTTAATAAATGTGCCCAGCCGAAAAGGGAGAAAGATTAGGGACGGAGGGAGTAGTACTTTTATTTTGGGCTCTTAGGGTATTAGTTTTATTTTTCTTTCTCAGTATTGTTTGTCTATGTGATAATTGTTTCAATGAGTTCTTTGTGAATCTGATGATTACACTTCTTTTCTTTGCTCCTAGTGTGTGTTGATATGGGTTCTACTAATAACTGAGCTATGGTCCCTCAAATGGAGAAACTACTTTTAGTATATGGCTGTATGCAATAAAATGATTAAATGATTTTTTAATTTTTATTCCACAAATAGCTTGTAGCTATAGGGCTGTTATCAAAACCTATTTGATCAATGACCACTGGTTTCAAAGAAAAAAAGCTGGAAGGAATTAAAATGCAAGGTCTACTTTTTTCTTGGACTTGTCTCACAATGTAGCTTACAAAAGGGTAGGATTAGGGCGGAATAACCGGATTAAGACAGTAGGGTTATTTTCTCTCTAAAGTCCTACTTTATCTCTTAAAAACTTCTAAAGCCCAAAATTACCCCAAAGTTCCCTCAATAGTAGCTCATACAATGCCATATAAATTATTGCAGTGCTATAGTGCCCGACTATAACTGCTATAGCGCCCGCTACTGGCACAGTGGCACTAAAGCCAACCGGTCCGCTACCCTAATACAGAGAGCTATTGATATCACATATCTATATCGAAAGTGCATGTTGGTTGATAGATTCCCTGTGAAAAGCTTATTCACTGTGATTGGTTCTTTTCATAAATTGAAAATAAAAGGGTGCTGGACTAATTTAACATTTTTTTGTCTAAACATTGCATCTAGGTGCATATTATGCTGCATAGGGTGTGGGCAGAGAATATTATCTTGCTGCTTTGAAATATCCGGGCATCGGAAAACTGATCATCTTTCCAGTAAGATAGTGCTGAATTGCTTATCTGGAGCTAGGCTGCTGTTTGACACAACCACCAGCACCCAGAGTTTCTATCATCCAATGCCAAATGTTTCAAAATCTTCTTCTTCAGACAACCTCCAGAACTCTCTCTTGCCTTACCTTTTCGGGTTCTCCCTCGGCCTCAATCCCTTTTCCCCATTTCGGCATTCAAGAGGTTTTAGCATCCAAACTTGCACCACTCTTACTAGATTGTACTTCTCTTGTGGACAGTTCCTCTCCTGTTCTTCAAAAAGGCCATCAGATTCATGCCCAAATAGTCGTACATGGAATACAAAACATGGGTGTTTTAGGGTCCCGAATTCTGGGGATGTATGTTCTCTGTAACAGATTCCTCGATGCCAAGAAATTGTTTTGGCAGCTCAATCTATGCTATGCCTCTCCTTGGAATTGGATGATCAGAGGGCTAACTGTACAGGGTCATTTTGACTCTGCACTTATGATGTACTTCAAGATGTTGGGTTTTGGTACCTGGCCTGATAAGTACACCTTTCCTTATGTGATTAAGGCTTGTGCTGGTTTGCGTGCGGTCACGTTGGCAAAATCAGTTCATCGATGGATTTGTAGTTTGGGTTATGAGTTAGATATTTATGTTGGGAGTGCTTTGATTAAGCTTTATTCTGAAAATCATTGTGTGGGCGATGCTCGATGTTTGTTCAATGAAATGCATTCTAGGGATAGCGTTTTGTGGAATGTAATGCTCAATGGGTATCTGAGTTCTGAGGAATCTCTGGATAGTGTAGTTGGATTGTTCATGCAGATGAGAAGGAGTGATACTAAGCCTAATTCTGTGACGTATGCTTGTGTTCTTTCACTTTGTGCTTCTGAAGGAATGGCTGAGTTTGGGACACAACTTCATGATCTTGTTGTGAAGTGTGGATTGGAAATGGAGTCTTCTGTAGCCAACACATTAATAACGATGTATATGAAATGCTGTTGCTTGTTTGATGCCAAAACATTGTTTGATGTAGCAGAAAAAACGGACTTGGTGCCGTGGAATATAATGATCGGTGGATATGTCCTAAATGGGGTTATAGATGAGGCTTGGAATCTCTTTCATGAAATGATAGCGATTGATGTTAAACCAGATGGCGTCACCTTTGCAAGTTTTCTACCCTCAGTTGCTGAATCTGAAGATATGTGCCTAGGTAGGTCTATTCATGGATACATTGTGAGACACGGTGTTTCTTTGGATGCGTATTTGAAAAATGCACTTATTGATATGTATTTCAAGTGTAGAAATGTTGAGTTGGCACGCAATGTTTTTCAGGATAGCGTGCTGGTGGATGTTGCAATTTGTACATCTATGATTTCAGGATTTGCTGTTAATAGGATGAATCTCGAAGCCCTAGAGGTGTTCAGATGGCTGCTGTTTAAGCGAATGAAGCCAAATGCACTAACACTGGCAAGTGTGTTGCCTGCTTGCACTGAACTAGTTGCCATTAAACTTGGTAAGGAGTTGCATGGTACTGCCTTTAAACTTGGGTATGAAGGTAAATGCTTTGTGGGTAGTGCCTTGACAGACATGTATGCAAAATGTGGAAGGTTAGACCTAGCTCATCAAATTTTCTCATTGTTGTCGGAGAAAGACATGGTTTGTTGGAATTCATTAATAACTGGCTGTTGCAAGAATGGAGAACCAGAACAAGCAATTGGTCTTTTCCGCAAGATGGGTGCAGAGGGATGGAAATATGACTGCGTGAGCATATCAGGTGCTCTTTCTGCATGTGCAAACATACCGGCCCTCCACCATGGAAAAGAGATCCATTCCTTCATGATCAAAGGTGACTTTCACAATGATCTTTTCGCTGAAAGTGCACTAATAGATATGTATGCTAAATGTGGGTACTTGCAGACAGCACGCAGTGTGTTTGATTTGATGAAGAGGAGAAATGAAGTCTCATGGAATAGTATCATTTCTGCCTATGGAAACCATGGTCTATTAGATGAATCTCTAAACTTGTTTCGTGGGATGGAAGAAGATGGGTTCCGGCCTGACCATGTCACTTTCCTTGCTATCTTATCTGCTTGCGGTCATGCTGGTCGGGTTGAACTAGGGAAGAGCTATTTCAACTGCATGATTCAAGACTATCTCATAATACCCAGAATGGAGCATTATGCATGCATGATCGATTTGCATGGTAGGGCTGGTTGTTTAGAAGAAACATTCAAAATCATCAAAAGCATGCCAATTGCCCCAGATGCCGGCATCTGGGGTGCATTGCTTGGGGCCTGCCGAGTCCATGGCCATGTTGAGCTAGCAGAAATGGCTTCAGAATATCTATTCAACCTTGATCCACAAAATTCTGGCTACTACATTTTACTGTCAAATCTACAGGCTGACTCTGGAGAATGGGAGAGAGCATCAAAAACAAGAAACTTGATGAGGGAAAGAGGAGTGCAAAAAATACCAGGTTATAGCTGGATTGAAGTTAACAACACTACTCACATATTTGTTGCTGCAGATAAATCTCACCAGCATTCTGTTCAGATATATTTTCTTTTAGATAATCTTCATAGGGAGGTGGAGATGGATGGAAATTTTCCTCAAAAACATCTCCAACACCGTATCGATAAATCTCTTGCCAATAGCTCCCAACTGTAAGGAAGGCAAGTGCTTTAATATTATTATCATTTGTGTTTTCGATATTATTTCTAATTTCATTTTATGAACGGCTTAGTTTTAATTTTTAATTTTTGGTCATTCAATTCAAAACTGACAAAATATGTTCACTGTTTCTTTTTGAAATTTTTTATTTTAGTCCTCGGAGTATCAAACATAGTATCAAATGCGATCCCTTACTCTGGACAAGTGGCATATTTTCAAAGTTAGGTGCTGATTCTCGTCGATTTTGAAATTGAAGACTAAGAGTGAAAAAATATTTGGAACTAGTGGGGTTTGAATTAACTCCTTTTTAACCGAGTTTGAGTGTCATTTATCTTGTATGTCCCAGACATACTGCTGTTGTAGAAGAAATACATGTCTTTACTTTGAGTAATGGCCCTCAGGATCCATTTACACGTATCATACTAAGCAAAATAAATATGAAGCTGCTGAGACAAAAGTGACCACTTATATGGCTCCGGCTCATCCTAAATTTGAAAAATGCTTGTATTTTATGTGTAAAAATTTATCTGAAAAATTCTTTGTACCAGCCCAATTTAACTTATGCTCCTGGCTATGCCTCATTTGGCTGACGCAGAGTTGATTTCCATCAACGGGGAAGCCAGTATAATGGATTGGGCTAATTCCATTGTGAAGAGGACAGAAAAAGACAAGCAGGGCAATTTGATCAGTTTGACTTGGGTATTTCATCTTGGGTATTTGAGCCGCTCTGTCAAGACTACTAAATTAAAGCTCACTTGGCTCCCTGATACAGCTTCTGAACCTCTCTGTGGTTGATCTTGACTACATCATCACAAGAAAGAAGGTATCGTTTTTGCATTTGTACTTGTTCTCTTGGACAGGGAATGAATGAATTGAATTACTAATTTCTGCTCAAATTCTGTTTTATTTTATTTTTGGATTGGAAGCAGAACATTATGCATAATTGCCTTGGCTCTGATATCTCTGAGAGTTTAAGATCACTTAATTTCCATCAGAATCGGTTGGTACATTACCTTCATCTAAAATAAATTACATCGGAAGTTCCATCTTTTAATTTAGGTTATTTAAGTTATTTTAAATTTTTTGTATAATTTTAAACAGAAGTACGAGTCACCGAAACAGGGGCGATAAAATATACTCTCTCCATCCCGCTAAGATTGTCTCATCTTTCCTTTTCGATCCGTCACATACCAAATTTGGTAAGTTTTGTGTGGTTCTAAATCGTTTTTACTTTATTCTCACTTTATCAATTCAATATCAATCATATAAATTATGAAGTCACTTTTCTTGGTAACGACACCTCCTCCTCTTTTATTTTAAGTTATACTAGTAAAATTTATGAGGACAATAATTCTGTAGTTAACATAACTCAATATGCATGTGAATTTGGGAACAATCTTTTCTTTAACTTATACGGAGTATCTTTCATTCTAACATAAAGTTTGTTAGATGATGTGGCGATGAGATTGTCCGATCCATAAAGGGCAGTCAAAGTGCATATATTGATGTCCCTGCAAGGCGAGAGAATAGATGGAAGGTGAATACTGCAAGTTCACAAGGATGTATAGGAGACAAGTTTTCCCTTATGATAAGAGGATGGTTTTAAGACTTGAACTCGTGACTCGTAACATTCTGAAAACTAATAGGATCAGAGCAAACTATACTATCATTACTTGCCGCCTGCCTTTGGCATGATGTTAAATGAAGCTTTCTCTTGCATATTAATTTTGGGGCTATTTTATTGATTATTGTTCTTATAAGATGTAATGTTAGATTGCTGCTGAATACTCCCTCCGGTTCTGAAATATCTTTACACTTTGACTTCACAAATATTAAGGAGTTTGGCACTTTTTGGCACTGTTTGGCACTGTTTTGTGTAGATTTGTAAGGCAAATAAGAAGTGTAAAGATCTTTCTGGTACTGCCAAAAATGGAAAGTGTAAAGATCTTTCAGAATCAGAGGGAGTATTAGTTTATGATGAAAGCTATATACGAGACAATCCTATTGCCCATTTCGGAGTTTATATACATAAAGAAGTTTGACTTTTGACAACAAAACACTTCATTTCATCAAGTTGCATGAAGAGAACTATTGAGAGAATACTTATTTTTTCTTTCGCCAATCTGTCATGATCATCTTGTTCATCGACTCTTCTGTTTTCTTCTTCTATTCTCCTCTTCTCCGCTATTTCAGTGCTGGAGTTTTATTAATCTAAAATGAAATTCATATCTGTATATGAAGGTCTTCAATTTTTCTTCAAGCTTTATCCTTTTTTTTTTAATTTCGTGTCATTCACTCATTCATACTACATTACTACGTTTGTTACTGTGTGAGATTACATTTCCCGTAACGGAAGTTGCATTTGGCAACATGTGAGATTATATTTTTAGTAACATGAGTTACGTTTCCCATCATGTGGATTTATATGAGTAACACACGTTACATTGACTATTATCTGAGATTACATTTTTAGTAATGTGACTTGCATGTTTAAGCACACAATTTTGATCGTGTTTTTCGGTTTATCAGGCTTGTGGATGGACTCGAGTCCGGGTCGGGCCTAGGCCCGGGCGGGCCGGCGGGTCAGTAATGGTGGATCCGGGACCGGCCCGGGTAACCACCGGGTCCGGGCCGGGCCCATTATATTTTTTTTTGTTTTCCTCTTCCTAATTAACCCCCCTCCCACCCCCAACCCCCCAAACCACCCCAAATGGCCCAAAATACCCAGGCCAACCCGAAAATTTAAAAAAAATTGAAAAAAAAAATAGTTTTTGGCCCGAACTGGGCCCGGGCCCGGCCGGGTCGGGCCTTGTTTTGGGTGACCCGAGCCCGGACCAGAAAACCCACGGGCCGGGCCTACCGGGACCGGTCACTGACCGGGCCACCGGGTCGGGCCGGGCCGGAACAGTACCGGTCCCAGGCCGGTTCCGGGTCGGGCCACCCGGCCCGAGTCCATCCATAATCAGGCTTATCAGTCAACTTTTTTCACCAAACATGTAACTTTTGATTTTTGAGCACTAAATTTTGTAATAATAAAAAAGTAAGGTTGAAGTTACTTTTCTGATTGTATTTGCTGAAGTTACTGTAGAAGATCATTTTAACAATTTTTTTATGCAATTTTTCCTTTATACTCCCTCTGTCCCATTTAAAGGTTCCCGTTGACTATTCTCCGATCAACGTGCGTTGTTCTTAATCTTTTACTTATATATATCCAATTTTTATCAAATTTAATTTTTTTGATCAGGTATTATAGAAATTTTAATGTAGTTTCTGAATGTGTAAATTTTATTTACTAAAAATAATTCTACTAATGACAGGGATCAGTTAACTTTATGGTCAGTCAAAAAACGTAAACCGCGTAGGAACCTTTATAAATATCAGTCAATGCAGCTAGAATTTCATAAATTTCACCAGAATCAGTTGATTCAGCCGATTTCAGTGTTACAAACGTGCTCTTAGATTGTCTATTCTCTTTGTTTAGACACAAAATATAGCTTGGTATAAAACAATAGATCATGTTACTAATTGGGCGATTAGACTTTACATTTTCACTATTTACACTTATGTCAAAGTTCTATGTCGTGCATCAATCTACTTACATTTTGACTCGTCTCAAGTTACATATATCATTAATGTGAGACACTTTCCGCAAACACGAGTTATATTGCTTTAATGACTATATTGGCCTCAAAGTTCAACAATTTACATTTTTAGTAACACAAATTACATTTCAGTGTATGATTACATCACAATATATACATATGTGTGTGTGATATTTGTAAATTGAAAGGTATTTTTTAATCTATTATAATAGGTAGTCTATGTTCAACATATCACCAAAAATATTGACAGTTCGTATATACTACACCCTGGTGTACATGTGGGAACCGTACATCCGGGTATTTTTTTAATTTTTTAAAGCTCCAGCCCAATTTAAATGAAATTTAATGAATATAATGGAGGCCCATAATAATTAACGAGCAAACCTCATAAACAACAGATCCGGAGTGGAAAACAAGCAAAAGAGCCAATTATTTTAACGGTGGCATATTTGTAATTTAAGCGAAAAATCACGTCTCCTGCTAAATGAGCAATAATGTACTTTTAATGAGCATTTGACCTATTTTATTGAGTATTAGAAGACTAATTATGAGTATCACGATCTCTTTTTCACATCTTCTAATTCTTTTTCTTTTTTTGTCATTTTTTCTTTTATAAAAACATATTAAATTATATCTATAATATACTCCTATTAATTTCAATATGCGAGTCTAATGTAATATGATACTTTTGGAACATGCATTGATATGACATTTTAAAAATGAGCATAACTTTAGTACAAAATGAGCATACATAACTTACAAAGTGCACATTATATGAAAATCGTAAGGTTTGTTAGTTGAACATCATGATATTTTTAATGAGCATCAACCTCCACTATTGAGATGAAAATCACGACTTCTGGAGAATGAGTAATAATGAACTTTTAAGGAGCATCAGACCTATTATATTGAGTATTAGGAGTCTAATATAAAATACTCCGTAGTACTTTTAAAATGCATTGATATGACATTTATAAAATGAGCATATGATCAGTCTAAGATGAGCATACGTAACTTACACAATGAGTATTAATGAATTTGTTAGTTGCTTTTTTAGTTGAGCATCAAGACATTTTCAGTGAACATCAAGCCTCCGTTATTGAGTATTAGAATCTGTGATTGAGTATCATGATTTGTTGTCTCGTGTTTATAATCAACTCTTATATAAATCTAATCTAATGTAATATGAGACTTTTGAAATGTGCATTGCTAAAACATTTTAAAAATGAGTATAACAGAGATACTAAATGGACATACATAATTTACAAAATGAGTATTCAAAAATTCAAAACTTCATTTGTGTATATTCATTTTTAAGCGTTTTACTCATTTAAATTTAAGGTAAAACTCATTTCTAATGTGCTCAGTATAATATATGAAAAAGAGAAAGAGGTAAAACAAATAAGGAAAGGAAAAGAAGTAAAAAAACCAAAGAAAATAAGTAAAGAAAGTAAAAGAAAAAGACAAACTCAAAGAAAGTGAAATCAACCACTAAAAAAAGTAAAGAAAATAAAAAAACAAAAAGACAAAAAACCTAACAATCTGAACCACCAAAAAAGTAAAGAAAAAAAAAAAAAAACAAAGAGTAAACATAATGATCAGAATTGATGACGGTGGAAGAAAGAAAGGAAAAGTGAAAGGCGGCGGAAGAAAAGAAGGAAAAGTGGAAAGCGGCGGAAGAAAAGAAAGAAAAGAGGAAGATAACGGAAGAAAAGAAAGAAAGAGGAAAGAAAAGAGGATGGTTGCTGAAGACGAAAGATGATGGAAAGAACATGGTGACTCAGAGGCTTGAATTTGATTTATTTACAAAAATACCGGGTGTATCTATACACCCGGGTGTAGGATATAATTTGCCAAATATTAAAACAAAAATATATAGAAGCCTGTTAAAACGCTTATTGTGAATCTATGATTAGCCGCTTCCGGTATATATAATTAGAGAGAAAAATGTCAATTCAGTACATCAAGTTGTAGCGTGTAGCATAAAGAGTACCTCATGTTACAACTGAAACCAGGAAGTACATAAAATAGGTATTTTGGTGTTAAATGAGTATACTAACCGTCTTTAGACGTTAATTGAGTGACATGGCAAACAGAATACTGATTTGTCGAAATTTAGTCCACATCACCCGTTAAGTGCTTGGTTATTACACGCATGAAACCCTAACCTGTTCGTACGAAGGCTCAAAAGACAAAAAACGATGAAGTTCTAAGCCTAAAGAGAAAGAGTAACTAAGGTGTTGAAGTGGTAATTCGAACATGGAGACTGAAATATCTGATGAAAGGTACGATATCACTGACATTACTCTGCTATACATCATCGATGCATCCCTGCAAGCATTAATATCTTCGAATTTTGTTTACCCATATGTAATGAGGAAGTAATGGCCGAAGTTAGCATAAACATAAGCACATACCATATCGTTTGAACCCCGTTTAGAAGGGATGACAACTTTGAACCCCGTTTCTAGGTTTTCCTATAAGCTATCCAATTTTTGTTTTGAGTGCTTTGTCATATATTGAGTGCTTAATAATATATTACACATCCATAAAAATTACAGTTTGGTGCAAGTGGTGAATTACAGTGTGTTACAAACATGTTCTTGAACAATTAATTATTTCTCTTACAATGTAAGTATTTTATGAATACAGTGTGTTGCAAGTGCCCTTCATTGTTGATTTGGGATTTGAAGATCCACTTCTTGAGGCAGAAGCTGGGCTATTGTTTGAAGATGAATTCAACTCTGAAAATGAAGATGATGAGGAATTACAACATGGTCGGGTACTGCTAAGGAAGTTGGTGACTAATCAAAAGGGTGTTGGTAAAGGTAAAGGGCACAAATCTACTGACACCAACATACATGAAGAAGAGTTAGCTGTGGAGGAAGATGAGAATGAAACTGAGTATTTCAGCTCAAGTGATGAAGGCAGTTACAAGTCTGGACCACAATCTGAAGAAGAAGAGCCTGTTAGAAAGAAAACCAAGTTTCCAAGTTTAAAACAGATGACAAAGTTGAGTTCTCATTAGGAATGAGCTTTGAATGCAAATCTCAAGTGAAAGAGGCAGTGGATAAATATTCTGTCACTAAGAGGTATCCTTACTATTGGGCTAAACATTGTGCTAACATGCTTAGGGCCAAGTGTTCCAATTTAAATAAAACATGCACATGGATGGCTTACTTTGGGATATATAATAGAAGTAGTAGTAAGAAATGAGTTGTAAAGACTTTGAATAGTGAGCACACCTGCAATCCAGGGTGGCAAATACCTAGTGCAACACCCAAATGGTTAGTCAATAATTTTTTCAAAACAAAACCTGGTGTTTCTGAGATGAAAGTAGCCTCAATGAAGGAGATGGTGAAGAAGGAACTAAACTGTGAGGTGTCTCTTGAGCAAATGAAGAAAACCAAGTCTATTCTCAGAAAGATGGAAAAGGGGGACATTAAGGCAGAGTACAACAACTTAGAGGATTATAAGGCTGAGATAATGAGGTCCAATTCAGGGAATACTTGCATACTTCAGGTCGTGCAGACCACTCCAGTTTTTGAAAGGTTTTATGTGTGCTTCGAGGCTTGCAAGAAGGGCTTCTTAGAGGGGTGTAGGAGGCTGATTGGAATTGATGGAGCATTTCTAAAGTCTGAAGTCAAGGGTGAAATCTTCACATCAGTCGCACGTGATACAAACAATCAGATGTTTCCTATTGCTTGGATAGTTGTGGGTTTTGAGAGCAAAGCTACATGGAAATGGTTTCTGGAGAACCTCAAAGATGATTTAAATATTGGAACAGGAGAAGGATGAGCATTTGTATCAGACCAACAGAAGGTTAGTATATATAAACTGATATATTTACTATATTATGATATCTGGTATAATATAAACTGATATACATCAACTCATATTATATATTTACAAATCTGAGACACTTATATACACTTATATATACATGAACTTATATAATATATGAGACACTTATATTCATTTATTTGCAGGGATTGATGCCAGCATTGTATGAGACATTATCCGATGTGGAACATAGAAGATGTGCGAGACACATTTATGCTTTGTGGAGAAGATCACATCCTGGGATTGAGTTACAAAGGCAGTTTTGGAAGTGTTGTAAATCTGCATCAAAGAGAGAGTTTGAGATGAATCTAGAGGTACTGAAATCTCTATCTCCTAGTGGACATGAAGAGATCTTGAAAATAGATCCAAAGTTTTGGTGTATGGCTTTCTTTAATAGGTCTATCAAATGTGAAATTGTGGACAATAACTTGTGTGAAGCTTTTAATGGAGTGATAGTGCCTGCTAGGTCTCAATTAGGGTTTTCTCAATTGAAATTTATTAGAAAGTTGGTCATTTAAAGGCTTATCAAGAATAGAACTTTAGGGGACAAGTGGGTTGGTCAACTAGGTCCTAGAATTAGGAGAAGGATCAACAAGACAGTGACAACAAGCAACTATTGGATGGTACTCTTTAATGGGTTTGGTGGCTATGAAGTTTCATGTGGATCTGATACATATCTCGTAGACTTGGAGGGTAGGAGCTGTTTGTGTGAGCAGTGGGATGTATCTAGGATACCTTGCAAACATGCAATTTGTGCAATTAGGGACAAAGGTCATCCAATTGAGGATTACGTTTCCCAATGGTATAAGAAAGATATGTATCGCCATACATATGCTCACATGATGACACCTGTAGCCGGTCCTCTCTTTTGGCCTAAAACAAACTTGACAGTGTTGCCAATAGAATTGAAAACTAATGAACTAGGAAGGCCAAGAAAAAACAGAATTAAAGAAATAGGTGAGTATCCTAGGACTGGTAAGTTACCCAAGAAAGGCACAAATATCACATGTCAGCTATGTTTTGCAAGAGGCCATAACAAAAAGGGTTGTCCATCAAAAGAGGTAATTTTAAATGGAACAACATCATTTCCACATGATTTAGAAGGTAGTAGTTCAACACAAAGGAAGAGATCATGTGGACACTTCTCCCAAGAAGGACACACACAAAATAGGTGCCCTTTTGAAGACCAACTCAGATCAGGTACACCCAATTATAGTAATAAAATGAACTGTTTCATTTGTTGTTTCATAGTAACTGTTTGATGTGTATATATATGATTTGTAGGTAACCAACACTGAATCTGGTACGCCTATTGAGTCAAGAAATGTTACTGAGAGTAGATTGAAGTCATATTTCAGTGAGAATCAACAAGTGGAGAGACCGAGTGATGGTGTATTTCAAAGTAGGGGAAACAACTCCATTGCTGCAGCTGTTTTGGAGGTATAACTTGTGAATTAAGATTGTCAATGTCTAATGAATACTAACATGGTAAATTTTTTTTGTAATAGAGACTAATGGCTAGGAAAGGAAAGCAGATTCAAGTCAATGCAAGAAAATCCAAAAAAATGCCCAGTGAGCAGATTGAAGTTACTGGAGATGCTGCAACTGCAAGGCAGAGATTTCATGAACTATATGACTCTATGGAAGCTCCACACGAAGACTAGTTTAGTTTATCATTGCAGTGACCTGTTAGAATGTTCTTCTGTTCTAGAAATGTAATTATGAAGGTTGTTTTGTTTAAGAATTTATGATGATGATGTACAAGGGCTTTTTTCATGGATATACTGTCACCTTGTACAAGGGTGTTTTTGTGAAGGATATACTGTCACCTTGTACAAGGGTGTTTTTGTGAAGGATATACTGTCACCTTGTACAAGGGTGTTTTGGTATAAAGTATTACTTCATCTGACTGATATATATGTGTGTTGGTGTTGATTATTTTGGACTGATATTGTTTTTAGTTGTTATAACTTCATCTGACTGATATATATGTAACCTAGTTTAGTTTGTTGAGCTTCATACAAGTTAGAATCTTAAATTTTACCCAATCCAGAATCTTAGTATCAATAAGCTGCATTTTGTCCTGTATGAAAAAATGCCCAAAATCATGGTGCATTAATAACAAACATACATCAATACCAAACATACATCATTGTGACCAGTTTCTAAAATTTCAATATTTGAAATGATTGTCATTACAACATACTTCGTACACCATACTAAACAACAACCAGTAGGATACCATTACAACAACATGGATTCAACTACACATACTAATAATACCATCACAACATAAAACCATACACAGTAGGTTATATTATCCTACATTCTCAGACAGATTTAGATCATTGGAGCCTCACAATAGTCCCAAGCTAACTTATTTTTGCTTCCAATGTCAAAACACACAATCCATGAACCTAGTAGCAACATTCCTCCCATAACACACCATAAGACAGTCCATTTTTTCTTCTTTTTGGGCATTGCATTTTTCTCCTCAAGTTCAACTTGCAGCTTATTGATTTTCCTCAGCAGACCTGGTATAATCATCTTCGACCTTGGACACATTTCTGGATCAACCCATTCAAACATTTTACATCCTCCATTACCCTATCATTAACAAACACATAAAGAAGAATATTATTACAAGAAATTACAACATATGACATATTATATGAGATCTCCATATTATATCAAGTTGTCTACATATGGCTCAAATGCAATATATATGTGTACATATATTCATTCAACAAGTCAAAACGCAAAAACATCCTATTTCACTCAAATAAAACTAAATAGGTTAAAGCAAACTTGAAGGTCATACCTTTAATGTTGAGCAGGTAAGGAATCGTCTCCCTGGATTGTCATCTGTCCATGAAGTCAACATCTTTAAAGGGATTCCACATGCACAAATTCCATGAGCCATGTCCGTAGCTCTCAAAACAAAATTCTGATAAAACAAACCAAAAAATTAACGCAGGAAGTGGAATGTAAATTCAGCCCATAAGATGAACACTAAACAACAATCTAGGGTTCGTCATAAAAAAATTAATCACCCTTCAAAGACAACACAAAGCAAGATAGCAGAGATAGATGAAGTTTGGGGATGAAATACACAGGCATGAAGATGAAATTAGGGTTACATATATTACAGGGTTGGGTCATTGCTGAGTTGGAGTCCAGCGTTTAAAAAACAAACGGCTCTAATAGCCACATCAACATCTTTTAACGTCATGTGCAGGAGTATACTCATTTAACACCAAAATAATTATTTTGTGTACTTCCTAGTTTCCGTTGTAACATGAGATACTCTTTATGCTACATGCTACAACTTGATGTCCTGAATTGACATTTCTCTGGATAATTAGATACTGATTAGTATTGAGTACAAGGCCCCAATCCAAATAGCTCCTTTTAGATAAACTGCAGAGCAATTCGAACCTCTCAAGAATGTTGATATAGTTTTGAAGAGAACAGAGATGGCAACCACCTTCTCCTCGTTTGTCTTTTCCGGAGCCAAGTCCCGTTTCCTTCTCTCACATCCAATTGATTCGAGCCAGCCGCTTCCACTCCACCGTCTCCGATTGCAGAGTCGATGCGTCATTGCCACTCCTTACTCTCCTGGTCCGTCGGTGCTGTATAGGTGTTCGAGGAAAAAGATCATAAGGTCATTCAGCGAGGAAACCGTAGTTCCAGAGACCGAGGCTGAAGGTGAAGATGCGTCTTCCTCGCCGCAGGCCATTGCTGATGAGACCGTTTCGGTTCCAGTGTCCCCTTCAGACGCCCTCACCATGTTCTTCCGCGTATTTACTCTAAATCATTTGCTCGCTTTCTATGAGAGTGCTTCGTCTATTTTCTTATAATATTTCCCCGACGTGCAGGCGGAAGGAACCATGAATGACGCATCAATTCCTCAAGTGACCAAGGCTTTAGAGGTACGGATTAAACTGAATCCTAGGGCCTGTTTGGATGAAGTGTTTGGAAGTGTTAGTAATGGAAGTGTTAGTAACCCTCAGTAAGGGCCCGGAAGGGAAGGGAAGGGAAGGGAAGGGAAGGGTAAGTGTTACACATAATTTTATCTTGTTTGGGAGAGTAAAATGAACGGAGTGTTAACAATGGAAGTGTTAATAATTTTATCTTGAGCCAGAAGAAACGAGTAAGGAGAATAGATGAAAAAGGTAGACCATCAGAGAGATTCGAAGTGATATGTCGAAGCATTTATGTTTTTAGGGTAAATGAGAAGAGTAATAATTGTCCAACACCTCAAAACACTCCAAATCGGAGTGTTAAAAAAGTGGACAATTGAGGTGTTGGGAAGGTTATTATTAATACTTGCTAACCTTTACTAACATTTCTTAACACCTCTTAATTTTTCTCCCAAACAAGTGTTAGTATCAACACTTACTAACATTTCCATTACTAACACCCCCTAACACTCAATCCAAACAGGCGACTATGTTCGTAGATGAAAAGGTACCATATTTTAGTGCAAAACATGGGCTCATATTCATTGATGAAAGTATTGTTAAACTCTAACATGCTTTTTCCTAGTCTCTCTTGTTCCCTAATTTATTAATGGAATGGAATGTGTTCCGGAAACAGCCACTCGTGCTTTAGTACATGGGTAAGGCAGTGTACATTCGACCCCCTTACCCCCCCTTATTCATTGTTGTTGTTGTTGTAATGAAAATGTGTACACATAAATGTTCAGAATTGGAATAGATTCTTGGGGAACTAAAGTAGCTAGTAGCTATTAACTGACTCTTTGTTTGATCTTAAGAATCCCTAAATGGGAAAACAATGTGTGCGCACTTCACCTTTTCCCTCCCTCCTTGTACCTAACTTGGCTAACTACCTGCTGATGTATCTTAAAAGACTGTCCACAATTTTTGATTTGATAAAATAATACTCCCTCAGTCCCAAATTGTAAGATACATTCACTATTCACTTGGTCAACATAAATCACTCTTAATCTTTTACTTTATATATCAAAGGTTTATGAAATTTGAATTACTTTTTGCAGGTTTTGTAGCGGTTTTAACGTAGTTTCTGAATATGTAAATTTTATTTGCTAAAACTAATTTGAGTGTTGACAGGGATGAATTTGCTTTGGGACGGAGGGAGTAACATAGTACAATAAATGCAATTGTCAATAACGTAACAGTTAAGGGACCTCGCGTTAATATCTTTTATGTCTTCAAATATCTCTCAGGAAATAGAAGGTATATCAGATCTCAAAGTTCAAGTTGTCGAGAGCATGGCAAGTGTGGAGGTGACTTTTGCTACTTTGTAGTTTCTACAATAGGGTTACATCCAGTATGTGTGTTAGCCTATGTAGGCTGCCTCCATCAATTGAATGCTTGCTCTTCCATGGTTAACATTTAAAAAAAATCCTTTTTGCAGTTGACAAAGCAAACAGCAATACAAGCTACAGGGGTGGCTTCAAGTTTAGTTGAGACTATACAAGGTTCAGGCTTCAAGTTGCAAACATTGAATTTGAGCTTTAAGGATATTGAAGATCTGTAATAGACTTGGCATGTGATCATGCTTCCAGAATGAGTATGCTTTCCCTTTGGCATTGCTGCCAGCTAAGTAGGCATGTGTTGTTACTTGTTAGTATCATGCTTAATAAAATACATTTCCATAGTTATATGGTTCTTTTTGGGTTAATTGTTACTTAGGTTGCTTATGTAATCCAGTTTGTAATTGTCTTGTTATAACAGAATTTTTTTTTGTAGTCCTTTAATTTTTTTCCTGTAGTTTAAGAATGTGTTCAGTTTTAACAAAAAGGTAAAACTAATGGTTGGATTGCACATTTACTACTATGAGTGTTACTCCTAACTCAAACATGTCTTTTTAGCAACAGAAAGAAGTTCTGTGTCTCTCAGCTTCTATTGTTTCTTTTTTTGTTCACTTCTTAAGATTTTCATATGATCATACAGATCAGTGCTCTTATTTTGGTGTGTCAATACTGAGATAGATGTTTTGGTTAGTGTCTCCTGCGCATCTATACTTAAGCTGCTTCTAGCTTTCCTAATATCAACTAATCCCTTTTGTGTGTCAACTAAATGTCTAAATCTTTCAAGTACCGAGTCATCTCTATACATTAACTGACCTTCATCTATTCTCGTATGAGTTGATTTTCAGTCAGTTAATAATGTATTAGTTGATCTCTTATCAGTACAATTGATCCACAAGTCTTCCAGGAATTTAGTGAGGTCTCCCACAAGACTTCTTCTCACTCTAATCTAGGGGTGGACTCGGGCCGGGCCAACCGACCCGGAACCGGACCGGCCCGCTACTGTGCGGGCCCGGCCCGGCCTGGTGAACCGGTTCCTGGCCCGGTGGGATGGCGGTTCGGGCTCGGGCCCTTCAAAAGGTGAACCGGCCCGGCCGGTTCGGGCCTGGGCCGGGCCAATTTTTTTTTTTGATTTTTTTTTTAAGTTTTTGGGTTGGGTTGGGTATTTTGGGCCATTTGAGGTGGTTAGGGTTGGTTTGGGGGTGAGGGGGAGGGTTGGGGGTTAACTAGGAAAAGCCAAAAAAAAAAAAAAAATAGAACCGAGGCCCGGCCCGGACCCGGGGGTTACCCGGGCCGGTTCCGGGCCTCCCCTTCTTGAACCGAGGCCCGGCCGGGCCCGAACCGGAACCGGTCCATGCCTACTCTAGTCTTCTGTCACAAGAGTATTCCGATCTTCTAAAGTGATTATGGTCTTCTGTGCAAGGATTACATTTTGCTTTGGAGTTTGGATACCGCTAGGTACGAGTGCAGTTGGACTTGCGAGTAGCTATTCAACTTTTGATGGGAGAAGGTGAGCACGCACACCGGCATTTTTTTGAGGTCACACAGTTTTGCGAGCTTTTAAATAGAAATTGGACGGTCAAAGTTGAGCATATCTACTGAGAGGGTAAACGGGCAGCGGATTTTTAGCTAACCTAGGTCATAGATTACCTATTGGTGTTCATTATATTTCTAATACTGATTCTAGACTATCGTTAAACTATTTCTAACACCTGTCTTTTTTTACCATCAACTCTCAGTCTTCTTGAATCCTCTTTTCAACTTCAGTCTTTCACAATCATCATCAACTTCATTGACAAGTCAACTCTATAATATTCTTAGCACTCTTAGGGGGAACAAATAGTTTGGGGAAAGTAGTTTTGTACACGATCTGGTTAATGTACTTTCTAAGTTCCTTTACATCCTTCAATCTTCATGGTTTAAAAAAAGAGAGTCATTTACATGAAAAAACTTGGACCACACCAGTTGGAAGCATTGCTTTACCAACTACTGTGCATACGTGCTTAGTTGGGTATTCCTAAAAAATTATTACAAGAACAAAGGAGTTGAATATCATGAACTACATAATTTAAACTCACATTTTTTCTTTGCCTAATTCAATGGTACCATACTTTGCCCATATAGACCAATTAGAATACTATAATTGAATAATTTAAATAAAAATAAATGATGAAATATTGACTTGGAGTTTTGGATCAATCAAATGCATGATGAATACAATATCCTCACTTTTTAAATGGAAGCGTTTCACTTTTTTGAAACGATTTTTATTTCCATCGTTTGTTTTATCATTTTTATTTTATAGTGTGAATTCATCTTTAGTACTGCTTAAGGAAAAATTTCCTAATATCTTTATTTTGTGTACAAAAACATTTCATTCAGCAGACAAATTACTATGCTCACTGTATAGTGTATATAATGATTTTCAGTTCAGAGTAATTCATTTCAAATCTGCAATGCAATATTTTGACATTCTCTAACCTATTTTTTGGATACACTTTCTTTTTGTCCATCCCAAAATAAACACATTCTTCATTTGAACTTTATTAATTATCATTTACTTTAATTTTTTCTCCTAAGTCATTACGATAATATCCATTAACAAAATGTGATTTGTTTTAAAAATCAAAAAATACCCGGTGCAGCCTTTATAATATGTTGCTACAATTGATTTAAACATATCAATCTTAGTAGCACTGCTGGTTAAGCACTCCCACCACTGCGCCACCGGCAGTGACACTCAGCGGTGGATCTCTTCGATGTGAACACCCAAAAATATAAAAACAATGGGAATATATATGTCTGAATTAGACTAATAATTTATTTATTACGGAGTAATATTTTAAGAAGAAAATGTGTAATTTTGAACACCAAAATATAAACACTGGGTTCGAGACTACTGACACTTTCTATATGCTCTAAGATGAGAAATCGAGAATTCCGATGATTTTTTGCTAACAATTTCTCAATTGTTTTGTGAAGATTATATGAAAATTGGCTACGCGGTGAAGTTGGGTGGCTGACTAGAGAATATAAAGATAATGAATAGATTTAAAATTTAAGATTATACGTCACACTTTTCTTGAAAGAAGTTGGTGGTTTCTTAATGAAAAAGGCTTATACTGATATATCAGAAACTCATAGATTAACAAACACACACGCCTCCAATTTGATCACTAGCTCTAGGATTCGATTTAGAATTATTCACATTAGAAAATGCACAACAATCCGCTAAACATTCAATAGACAATTTGAAGTCTATAGTGACTAGAAGTAAGAACTTGCCCCTCAAAATGTCCACGGCTTGTCTATAAGTAACAATCAAAATAAAGCACATCCTAGTGTTCTGATCGATAAAAACAAAAACCAAGCATAAATAATCAGCCGACTTTGTCTGCGAATAAATAAAAGTGAAATAAATAAAAGTGCCCAATCGCACAACAAGTATTCAATATCTCGGCGAGTCTGTCATCCCGAGCTCGTCCCAACTCCGTTTTCCTTCACCAGTTTGCATTTTTGCAACTCCATTATCATGTGAACTTTCTTCCCATTGTGTCTAGCCGCACCAATAGAATCAACACCCCTATTCATTGAAGCTGTCGTCATTGTGGTCGATTTCATATCAGCAGAGCTGTTTATCCCCTATTTATCGCTTTTCTTCATAACCAGCCACTTATTAGCTCTACCACCACTACTTTGCCCACGATGTGCTCTCATCAACGACACGAATACCTTAATTTGCTCTAAGCCCGGTTGCCCGAGAACATGAAAACATAACATATCTGCATGGCCAGTAATACCACAAGCAAAACAAAATTTGAGTAGCTTTTCATTCTTGAAATCTATTCATAAGCAGTCCCCGTTCGCTTTCTGGACCTTCATGTTTTTCCTAAGAGGTTTTCCTATAGCTAGGCAAACCCGAATTCTCAAATAGGTCCTCCAGCGCCCCTCAAACTAGTTTTCATCTCTCTTGACAAACCTTCGTAAATTATTTCCAATAGATTTTGCCGAGTTTAAGGCCAAGTAACCCACTGACATATTATGCACGTGAATTCAGAATTCCGAAAAATATAAAGGGTCTTCCAAAGGCAAATCTTCAACTTTTAATCCGTGCAATATCACAAGATTCTCAGCATGAAGCCACAAACCATATTCAATAACACGCATCATATCAGTTACATGATAAAAAGAGAAAAAGTAATGTTGGGATATTAGGACGTGGCCCAAGTACATACCCAAAATAGCCCTAAGAGGCCAGTTCCAACGGAGCCCAATATACGGGAAGCGTGCACAGGAAAGGTAGTATGGTGCCTACCGAACGGCCACTATCGAACGACCCGATCAGCGTACTTGGTTATCCACTACACCAATGGGAGCTAATTATGAAGGAATGATCCAAGAGAATTGGTAGGAAACCTCAGTCTTGGCGGGAAGCGCATTAAATAAAGAGATATGAGGAATTTTATGGTTGAGGATCATCCACTCAGAATCGGCCACATCACCCCCAACTACTCACCCATAGTATATATACCAACATTTATTTCATTGTAAGAGGTTAGCAAATTTGTACTTACATCAATATATTAACTTTAGCTCTTGTATTAGCTTCATGTGCTGAAGGTCTCGTTCGGTCATTTCAGTGTAATCAGTATATTCATCCAATATAGTTGATTTACTGTATCCTCTTGTTATTGATCACCCTCATTCAACTCACCCTAAATCCTTGCATTACAACGACAACCAAAGGAACGTGTTGGGCCTTTGGACTTGTAGGAAAAAACCTCAACATTGGCGCCGTCTGTGGGAAACTGAACTAAAATTCCCGAGCAAGCTCTAGCTCTAAGATTCTGTGCATTTTCAACACTCCCCTAAAATAAAAAGAAACAACTATAATGGCAGGAAGACCTACACAACCAGGCGGGGGACCTATCCGAACACCTTCACGAAAGCGGAAGACCACACACCCTCAACTCAAGGGACCAGGCCAACAACGGATGGAATAATCCGGACAGAAGGGGGGACCTTACCGACTTGATCCCCAATGTGGTCCACAACAACCCCCTCCTTATGAGGGAGTTGGCAGACACGATGTGGGTGATGGCCGACCAGGAATATACGGATCATACCATGTATACGACTCAGACAGAAGACACCCCACTCTCACCGATACGACAGATGCAACCATTCGATGAAACGGAGGTGGAATCCAGGGCCACCCGAGCCCTGATATACTCTGTTTAGGTGGGGCCCACTACAGGCATGATTTCGGAGACAGGGCCTTTCGGGTAACCACAGAAGAAGGACTGAAGCCTCTATGTCCCGGGCAGGAAGGTATACCATGGGGGAACGGACTCCGGTGATGCATCACACCAACCATCAAAACAGATGCCCACCCGGAACGCCCATATAGGGGGACATCTCCAGGGGAGGCATGGAGGGAACCAACTGGCAAACCGGACGAGTCAGCATCATGCGAACCCTCCCATGGGGGAAACGCCCTACGAACGGTTACCCCTCCGGTGACCGGGAACTCATGCATAAAGTTCCCCACCGAAACTGGAGTGGGGGTGGCCCACGTGGACCCAGCTACAACCTGAACCTGTTATAGGGAGGCACTGAAGAAGATGGATGCCTGGGACCTCCGGGTAAACAGTATTGCAGAGGCAGCGCGCCAGGCAGATCAGTTGGCACGCCCCGAATCGATTACATTGCTCGAGGAAGTCGAGTTGGATTCACCCTCCGACCGGAAAGTATCAATCATTGTTGATCTGGATCCTGAGATACGAGAGGGGGTGATTTGTGTCTTGATGAAGTACCAGATCCTATTCTTTCAGGGGCCCGAGTATATGTCGGGCATCGACCCGGAGATCATTTATCACAGGCTGGCCGTTCAGCCTGATGCTAAACCTGTGCAATAGAAGAAGCGGTATCAGGCATCCGAACGGCGAGAATTCACGAGGGTCGAGGTGACCACCCTTCTCAGCATCAAGCACATTCGCCCGGTCATTCATGTGGAATGACTATCCAATGTGGTGCTTGCGCCTAAGGGACTGACCTGGCGAATGTGTGTTGATGATTCTGACCTGAACATGGCATGCCCCACGGGCCCATACCCGGTGCCCCGAATAGACTGCTGGTAGATGAAACGACCGGGTGTGAACTGTTAAGCTTCATGGACGCCTTCCGGGGATATCATCAGATCTTCATGCACCCAGACGATGCGGACACAACCGTGTTCGTCACTTCTGATGGCGTGTACTCCTACGTTGTCATGCCGTTCGGACAGAGGAACGCTATGACAACTTTCTAGAGAATGATTGACGAGCACTTTGTCACGGTGCGTCAAAATAATTCGATACTAACACTTATACGTAGTATAGGTAAAGTAGAGTTCGTATCCACAGGGAAAGGAATAATTCTCTTTTTATGAAACTTAGTAAATAAAGGGAGGATTTGGATTGAGTGATTTAATTTAATTAAAAACTAAGATGAACAACTTATATGAGATTTAATTCAAAGATAAAAAGGACTTGGCATTGCTACTTTCCACTTGTTGATATATTTGAGTCGATCATTGTTATATCTTTAACTTATTTCCTCTCGAGTACTCAATCGAGAAGTATATCCAATTCATCGAGGGTAGTTATTAACAACGACCGTTCATTAATAACCCTTACTATTAGTCAAGTATAGAACACCGCCATATACCGACTTGATAGTAGCTTTTAATCTTTTAAATCCTTGATGAAATCAATTGAGATTGATAACCTCAACACAACGGTTTCGGTTTAACCAACAAAATTAATCCCTCTTAAGTTTATCAACCACGACCGTACATTGATAAACCGAAGTTACTTACTTGTGAAAACATCAACGATTAACCATCGGCTCGTCGATCGTTTCTAGTGATAATTAATATATGAAACAAAACTAGTTGATCCTTTAAGTGATGTTCAAAATATTAATATGAAATATGAATAGGAATTAATTAATATTCAAGGAAGAATATTAGTAAAGGAGATGAATCCTACTATAATTAATATCAAGATGTTAACTAATTGTTATCTTAGCAACACTCCCCAACATTAATATAGAGGAAGAAAATACTATTCTAACTAATGTCGAGATGTTAACTAATTGTCATCTTAGCAACACTCCCCAACAATAATATAGAGATAGTATTTAGGAAAGAACTAATAATTAATATTCAAGGAAAGAAGTTTAAGAAAATAACTCACAACTTTAATAATCAACAAGCTTCAAGAGCAACACCAAGAATGGAAGTTTAGCTCCTCATTTGGAGACTAAACATAGCTAGAAAAATATAACGAAATGCTATTCTAAACTGAGCTTAGGAGTATGGAAGAAGGGATGATGAAAAGTGAAGGAAAATGGGGTTATTTATAGGTGTTTTCAACACCTAATGCCGGATACCCAGCCGGGTATTTTGTCATACCCGACCGGGTATTTACCAAATCAAATATTTTCCCATGTTTTTGTGTCTTCTGCACGTTCTTTGGTTCGAAATCACTTCATACCCGACCAGGTATATGGAATACCCGACCAGGTATTTGCTAGTTTTGCAGCAGTTTCCTTTGTCACTTCATACCCGGCCGGGTAAAGTCCATACCCGACCGGGTTTTGCATAAAACTCAGGCTTTTCCATCCTTCTTGCTTCCAAACCTATCCTAAACTTATAGCTCAACTAACTACAACTTACAACAAACAATAAAATGCTAAAAAATATGATTACAACCAAATGCAAACTAACAACTACAAACTTGCATAATACTAGTAAATAAATATTACAAACGATAATAAAAATGTACACTTTAGGCACTAACAACTAGTGCCTATCAATGATCGAAATATTGTTCAAAGAAGTGCTGGGCATGATCATGGAAGCTTATGTGGACGATAACCTGATCAAGAGTAAGAAAAAAGAAGACCATGTTCGGGACATATAAAGGGTGTTTGAAATCATGAAGGGAGTTAACATGAGGCTCAACCCGAAGAAATGCGCTTCCACCGGAAAGGGTGGCAAATTCCTTGCCCTACATGATGAGCGAGCGGGGAATTGAGCCAAACCCTGAGATTGATCGGACGGCTAGCAACTCTTAGCATATTCATGTCTAAACTAGCCGACCGGGAAATCCCGTTCTTCCCAATCATGAAGAAGGCTAATCCGTTTGAATGGACGGCAGAATGTCAGGTTGCCTTCAAAGAGTTCAAGATCTACCTCTCCTTCCCGTTAGTCCTCACCAAAGCCGATTCAGGAGAAAATCTGTACATGTACCTTGTAGTGGCTGATCTTGCTGTAAGTGCGGTGCTGTTAAAGGAATCTGGCGGGGTCCATCGGCCGACCTACTTTGTGAGTAAAGCTCTGAACGGCCCCGAGAGCAGACACACCTCATGGAGAAAACTATATTGGCCCTAATAGCGGCGATCAAGCGCCTGACGCCCTATTTCGAATCCCATCCGGTTATCATCTTCACCACTTAGTCGCTCGTTACTATCCTCAGGAATCCTATGGCGAGCGGGCGCATCACCAAATGGTCACTCCTATCGGGCAGTATAACGTGGAGTTCAAACCAAGGCCCACAATCAAGGGACATGCTCTAGCTGACTTTATTGCTGAATGCACAGCTTGACCGGATGAGGAGGGCTAGAACGACACCAGTATTGATAATTGGTGGGAGATGTATACGTATGGGGCGTCCAGTGCTAAGGTTGCGGAGGAGGAGCTGTCATCACCTCACCCAAAGGGTTCAAAGCATACTACTCCTTGCATGTCAATTTTAAGGTAACGAATAATGAAGCTGAATATGAAACACTTCTTGCAGGTTTGAGGTATGCCCGAGCCCTTGGGGCAAACAGTTAAAAGCCCGATCGGACAACCAGGTATTGGTTAACAAGGTGAACGGAACGGCCAAAACCAGGGAGGAGAGGATGAAAGCTTACAAGGAGCTGGTCGATGAACAAATCAAATAAATTTGAACATGTGATTCTCGACCAGGTTTCTCATGTGGAGAATGCAGAGGCAGATATCATCTCCAAGTTGAGAAATGTTACGCCGGGCGATCAGACGCAAACCATACCCTAACACATCTAGCGTTTCACCCGACAAGAGACCTTGGAGACACCGTCCACCCAGGTCCTTCAGATATCTGAAGTGCCTCCTACCAGATCTTGCGGCATCAGTCATAGAGGAGATTCATGAAGGAATTTGCTCAAGTCACCAAGGGCCAAGGACGCTGGCAAGAAAGATCATTCTACAGGGATACTACTGACCGACCATACATCAAGAGTGCTTCCATCATACCCGGAAATGCACGGTCTGCCAACAGTATGCCCCAGTGCTCGATCGGCCGGCCAGCTTCTACACACCAATGACCATAGCTCTGCCATTCGTGAGGTGGGGGATCGACTTGCTAGGGCCCCTACCTGCAGCGTCTGGATGAAGGAAATACATCATAGTCGGGATAGACTATTTCAGGTAGTGGGTCGAGACCGAACCGCTTGCCAGCATCACGTAATTCCAGTGCCTGTGCTTCGTTTGGCAAAACATTATTTATCGGTTCGGGCTGCCTGAACATGTCATCACAGACAACATTATGCAATTTGTTGGCAAGGGGTTCGAGGAGTTTTTAAAGAAATCGGGGATCAAACATTAAAAAGCATCAAACCATTATGGATGTGATGAAAAAGAAACTAGAAGATTACTCTTCCACTTGGCTAGACCAACTGAATTACATCCTGTGGACATATCGGACCACCTCAAGAACTGCCACAGGGCCACAGGGGAAACCCTGTTCGCCCTATCATACGAATTTCAGGCCAAAGTCCCGACCGATGTTTTGGCGCCCACTCACCGGGTGACACACTTCAATCCCGAACAGAACGAAGAATCCTTGCGAGCTGAGTTACACTTCATTGAAGAACGCAGGGACTTGACTACAAGAAGAGTTGAGGAATACCACCGAGCGACTCAGAGATATTTCGACAAGACGATCAAAGTCTGCTCCATCGAGGTCGGAGACTTCTTGTTTCATACCAAGTCAGATTAAATTAGACCAAATTTCTATAATAGTAAAATCACATAAAATATACATCTAAACAATTTAGATCACAGATTAGACTCATCTTATCGGATCACAGCCATACCAAAATTTGATTCCAACTAAAAACGTCCTAAATCTGCCGTTAGTTTGTCCCAAATTGATGTTCTAAACACTGAAATCTTCAGCTTGGTTTGGAGTAGTAAGGCGACTGGTTCTTTTTCCTCTTCTTCATCCATGGCAGCCTCCAAGCTCCAAGCTCTCTGGAATCATCCTGCTGGTCCTAAAACTAGTGAGTTCTGACTTTCCTTCAGAAATAAATGTCAATTATTGTTCTGACTTTCCTTCAGAAATAATTGTCAATTATTAAAATGTGATTAGAACATTCGGATCGTTCTCTGAACAAAGTCTCGATTTTGACTAGATAATGCTATCTAGCTAGTAATCCTCTGTTAAGCTTATCCTCCTTTGTTGTTTGAGAGAAGGAGTCAATAGGATGACACAGCTGCGTTTATCATGGTTTTGATTTCACCGTTCGTTTTCTCAATAGCAGTCTGCCCTTTAGCTTAGTTATCGAATACCAGTTGTGCCTTTTGAACGCAGACTATGTAAAAAGAGCATTGGAACGTCCTATACATTTGTACTTCACATATCTTTTTATGAGCAGCGTCTCTGATTAGCTGAGTTATGTTCCCCTCTCTCATGTTATTCTAGTTCATTTCTGGGCACCAACCTTCAAGTGGGGTATTAGCATTGCCAACATTGCTGACTTCTCCAAACCCCCAGAGAAGCTCTCCTATCCCCAGCAGATAGGTATGCCACAGTAAAGTAGTAAACTATGCATCATCCTCATCTAGCTATAGTGTCATGTGATTAGGCTTTGAAGCATCTTTCTGCGAGTATCTTATAAGCAAACTTGCTCTAATGTCGTTATAATCCTTGCAGCGGTTACTGCCACTGGAGTTATCTGGTCACGCTATAGCACTGTTATTACACCTGTAAGTTCATAGCCTTATAATGCAAAAAACCTTATGTCGAACTGCACCATTGTGATATGAAAAGATTACCATGTAACCTAATAGTATACAAAATGTCAAATAACAATGCATTGCCTAAAAGTTAAGAGGAGACGATAAACTTCAGAAACATGGCAAGCTCTATGAACTCAGATCACTATAATTCCTGAAGTACATGTTACTCTTCCTCTTTTTAGTTCAGTAAAATTGAAAAATATGTACAGATTGCAGTAGTACAAATTTTATCTGTTAGTATGTTTTGAGGCTTATGCCTCAAGGTTTACACCTCACCTCTCTAAAACAAATTGCTTTGATACCCAAACTAGCTTTTTAAACAATGATGATCTTTTATTGACTAATAAGTAATAAATGCTCCCTATTACCCATGGAAAACGAAAAGTTGAAAAAGGTTTGTATCTATCTCATATGTGTGCACATCTGAGAAATGGGATTTTAAAATCAAATATAGGGTGCGAAACGTGGGGGAGAGGTAAATACTAAAAATTTAAGGATACATTTATAGATATTTTGGGATTAAGGCTTGGGTGTTGTTGTATACATTTATAAATATTTTGTCTTATATTTATAAAAATACAGTGTACATGTTTATAAAACATGCACATATTTTATAAGCCTGCTATATATTTTATGAATGTGGCTTCTTTACGTGCGTAGGTACAGAGCTACACTTGTTTCCATTTGGAACTTGTCTTTAGTGATTTATGTAGAGCTTTTGGATTTGAAGTATAAGTTTTAGCTCCACGTTTTTTTCTTCTCACTATATGTGATTCGAATTGCAGAAAAACTGGAATCTATTTAGTGTAAATGTGGCAATGGCGGATACAGGCATCTATCAACTTACTCGAAAAATAAGGTATGTCATATTCTTTCCTTTACTGTCCTACTGGCGGTGTTGTTCCTGTTGTCCAGGATTCAAATCCATCCCTTTGCTAAAACAAAGGAAGTAAGACCTGTGTAATGTCATTCCCCAAACCCTCAATGTTTGGGAGCTTCGGCACTGGGTACACTCTTGTAGTTCCTGGTATAAGTAATTATTTTTCTTACCCCAATCCAGCTATTTTATTTGACCAAACACTAACAGCTCGTTTGGGGGTACACAGCGAAAAGATTTTTTGGGGGGGAATAATATGTGGAGAATAAGCAGGGACAAGAAAATTCACTCTTTAGTTAGTATGAGAATTGTCAGAAATCAATATTACACGGTTTACTGACTTTTTAATGACAAATTGTTATGCTTATTAATGAGGGTATATTGGTCCAAGCGTCTCCATTCATGTTCTATATTTATTCGAGAAAAAGAATGCAAAGAATGGGTGGGAATGTTTTTTCTGTATATGGAAGGAAAATCTTTACTTGAAAAAACCATTTATATCATACCGAGTAGAGGAATTCACTACTCCTAGGAAGGCAGGAATAAACCAGTAATGAAAGTTGTACTCTCATCAACCATACAAGCTGTAACCTGTTGTACTACATTCAGATGATGAAATACAGTAGTACATGGGTGTGGGCCGTGTGGCATAAGTTTAGACAAATTATACTTTTACACTTAAATTTGCTAATACTTCAATTTATTAAGGTACACTTTGGTAATGCTTTTTGTTTTTAATTTTTGTTTTTTGTCTTTACTTTTCTGAAATAGAAACATGAAATATGTTTGAGAATTGCGTTTTTGGTTTTGAGAATTGCGTTTTTGTTTTCAAGCTGTTGTTGAAAAGTGACTTCTTGCTTTCATATTTTCAAAACAAGTTTATTATTTATTACCGTATTTCAGTATCAATCATTTTTTCATTAGAAGTAATATTATCACCATTTCAAATCTCATTTAATTCAGTCTTATTATTGTGGGTTGGGCCTTTTTATCGGAAATCTCATTAAATTCGGTCTTATTACTGTTGGTTCAGCCTTTTTATTGGAGTTTTTATTAAATTCGGCCTATTCAGCCATTTAAACAGTTCTAAACAAATATGATTTCTCAGGATATTGTAATCACTAGTTTTTCACCCGCGCACAATGCACATATTGGTATTTCTTATAAAATGAAAAAGTGAAAATGTTATTCTCTTCGTCCCATTATTAATTCTTATTTTGATTTGGAAAGACGATTAAAAGGTAGATTTTTTGTTGTTCAAAGTTGGGACCGAAAAAAAATCTTGAAGTTTATTTTGAGATAGAGGGAGTACATGATATCATCATAAAAAGTAAAATGTGATAGTAATCTACACATACCTTGCACATGAGGAATATATCCTAAATAATTTAATTTTATGTATTATTGAAAACGAAACAAAACATAGAAACGATTTAATTCAATGATGAGATGAAAACATTATAGTGATAGTGAAAAATTAATGTTACATAATAATGAAAGAATAATATGAAAAAATATGTAAAGGAAGTGCAAGATGATAAAGTGTAACCTATTTACGGAGTATAATCATTTTATTTTAGAAAACATGCATTAGGTTTAATCATATATGAAGTTAAATGTGATTAGTGTCGGTGAAGGGGTTAAACAGTGTAAATAACCAAAACTCAAGGAGTAAATAAGTGATAAAAAAGATGGAAGGTTGAACTAATAAATTTGACCTACCCTAGAGGGACTAATAGTAATTATCCATATTGTTTCTAACAAAAATTATCCCTATTTTTAAAAACATCATATTGAACAAATTTACTGCTAATATTATACAAAGTATTGAATTTTTAGTTAGTTAAATACAACTGCTAATATGAAATCCAAAACGTATTTCATTTAAAATACATGTAATGACAACACCTATTAGAAAATTAGTTACCTACCCGCACGAGTAGCTCAGTTGGTCGAGTGGAGAGAGATTTGGATCAATGGACCAAGGTTCAAATTCCCGCAGTGACCAGGTGGAGGTCACATAACCTGAAATAAGGTTGAGCCTCTGGTGCGCACGGGTGTATGGGCCCACTGCCACTCTGCTGACTGGGTCACCGTGACTAACCTCTCCACCATCCTGTTGAATCGGGATGAGGGCTCCTGGGGTGGGAGATTCCACCTTTTGGATCAAAAGAAAATTATTTACCTTTTTGCGAATAATTATGATTTAAAAATACAAACATTTTGATGTAAAAATAAATAAATTTGGAGTTTGATTTATTTGTTGTTACTTCAAACCTATTTTTTTAAAATAACCGAAGAATGTACATAAAATATTTTAATTATGACATCTTAATTTTAGTACTTGAGTTTACGTAAGAAAGATTTTAGATTGAAAAATCTCCAACAATCGAAACTTCATTTTTTTTAATTTTATATACGCAATATTGGTGTCATATGAAAGATCATAAAAAGATATGAAATTTGATAGGTTTTTTATAAACATTAGATAACAAATAAAAAAGTTATAGCACTTCAAAGGGATGTGGAGTTTTTTATTTTAAATGGACCCCATGACTCCCTTCTTCGACCTGCATCTAAGTTGTAAACGAATCAAATAATTTGTGCTCGCTTCGCGATTCGAATTCGTATAAAACGATTCAAATTCGGAAAATTCAAATACAAATAAGAATATTAAATTTGATTCGAGTTGTTATCAAATACAAATAAGAATATAAGTGTATTCGATTCGAATATTAATCAAATATATTCAATTAAGAGTTTTTGCCATTTTTGGTCCCTCGACTATTATGTCAATGACACTTTTGGTACTCGACTTCTAAATTTTCCATTTTTAGTCCTCGACTATTGTGCTAGAGACACTTTTAGTCCCCGACTTCCAGGTTTCCCACATTTAGTCCTTGAGTATTGTCAAATTGACACTTTTAGTCCTCCCATTATGATTTTAACACAATAAGTGGAAGACTAAAAATGTCACTATTATAATAGTTGGAGGACCAAAAATGTCACTTTTATAAAAGTTGAAGGACTAAATGTGGAAATTTTCAAAGACGGGTACCAAAAGTGTCTCTAGCGCAATAGTCAAAGACTAAAAATGGAAAATATCAAAGTCGAGTACCAAAAATGTCAATGACATAATAGTCGGAGGACTAAAAGTGGAAAAAACTTTTCAATTAATAATAATGGTAATATTAATGTCAATATTAATAATAATAGTAATAACACTATAATAACTTTTAAAAGATAGCAATGCCCTCAAAGTGTAGCCCATATATACAGTTTTGCGTACGGATTCCAAGCCCATTTGTAATAAATCGGAATATAAATACGAATACAAATCAATTTTTTGGTTCAAATGTCTTTCAAATACAATACAAATAACTATGTATTTGATTTGAAGAATAAAATTAGAGTTGTTTGACTTTGATATATACAATCAACTTATTTCACACATTATAAGCATAATTTCTAATGTGTGTGTGTTAGTGTTTATTTCAAAAAGTTTGAAATAGATTTATATTTATTAATCATAAAATTAATTCACTTTAGTATATTGTGCATCATCTAGAAATGCATTGATCCATAAAATTTAAATTCTAAAAACACATATTAAGTCATAGCATGCATTTACAACATAAAAAATACGGAGTATAAGAAAAGTTATTTTAGAGTGATATTTGACTAATATTTTAGCTATGCTCAAATCGATTCGATATTCGTATATGATTCGTTAACTATTCGTATTGTTAATTAAAAAAATACAAATACAAATCAAAATTAATATTCTTTTCATATTTGAATTCGAATTCGTATTCGAAAAAATTAAACAAATACAAAATCTCATTATTCGACTCGATTCGATTCGTTTACAACCCTACCTGCATCACTGCATGTAGAGTGAGTACAGCCGTAGAGGTTTTGAACCTTTTACTTCACATAAAATATCAAAACTTATCATAATTGTGACCCACGTAACACTACAATTGTTGATGTAGAATTCCACCAATTTTCCCATTCATTTGATAGGCGGGAACAGTGTTCCTGTTGTCCACGCCGGTTTGTATATTAATAGATGTTGCTTAGCTGTTTGCCAAACTTTAATCAAGTTATTTTCATCCTTTGAAGATGAGAAAATATTCACTCAGCTCCATGCTAAAAGAACAATGGAAATGTGATATGAAATTGTTTATATTGTTCAGGCATGATTATTTTGATGAGCAGCAAGCAGCTACATCAGAACATTGATGACAAAAGCGGCTTCACTTCGCTTGTGGACTTGACTATAGTTGCTTGGGTCACTTCTCAATGCTGAGCACTACATCTGCACATTGCATGAAGTGGCCTTTCTAACCTTTCTTTTGATACACCACACACATTTGGAGTGGATATCGTATGTTCTTTCATCACAATTCTCGAATCAAGCCACAATAGTCAATAAGGGCATAAGACTAGTTTTCTTTTAATATCCCATTTTTGTTTCTGCAAAATCATTTGTGGTGGTGCATATTGTTGACATCTTGGAATTTTGTGTTGTGGTTTATCTCATTTCTCAACAAGATTGGCTACTTATGTTATTGTATAAGAAGTACTTCCTGATGTGTATGTTTATTCAAATGTTTCCTGGGGAAATTTTGTTGTTAATTTGGAAGAACGTTATTATGAATGCAGCTAGTAGATCATTATAAACTTTTCAGCAGACAATGTTCTGCTGCCCTGCCCTATTAATGTCGAGCAACTATGATCTTGGAGAAAAATTGCAGGAGGGAGAGTGATGTCGAGGGAGAGTTGTGAAATGCGCAGAGTTATGCAGTGGCGGATCCGTGGGCGAGGTGGTGCCAGTGCCCCCTTGGCGGAGATGCAAAGGTAGGTAGGTGTATAAGTTATTTATATCGTGCCCAGGGGAGCTCCTGTTGTCTTTACTGCCGCTGTCCACGGACCAGAATTTGGGGCCCGAACCGGGTAAAGGGCAGGTGGGCTACGGGACGTGAGATATATAAATTTGAGACATTAAACCCATGTGATTTAAAAAAATGCTTTAGACCCGTGCATTATAATTATTCATACGCAGAACTCCCTCTATAAACAAATTTAATTGCCAAATAAATGGACAATTGCTAGTATTTTTGCATAATTTAGAGATCTTGACAAATCTACTTGCATATTCAATCATAACATTAAAACAAGTGATTTTCAAATTATTAAATTTGTTCTTAGAGGAAATTTTGCGCATGAATAATAATAACACGGAGGATTGGACACAATTTTAAATCAGAAAGGAATAAAGGGCCGAATTCATATATCAAAAGGGGAGTTGGGAGCATTAAATCCTTAGAAAAGTAAATATATAAACGCATTCATAAATATGCATATATAATTAAGGGAGTATTTGTAAAGGCTTCTACTTATTAAAAAGTGTTTTTCAGAAATAATATGAAAAATAATTAATAGTAACATTTGGTGAAAAAGTGCTTTTTAATGTAATAAAAAAGTGAAAATAATTTAAAATTATTTTAAAAAAATCAAAAGTTTTTTTTTGAGACAAAAGTAAAAGTTTTTAAAAACACATGTTTTAGCTTTTCCCACCCAAAATTCCAATTCAATATGCAGATATTCGTGAAGACCTCGTCTGCGAAGATGATAACCCTCGAGGTCAAATCATCTGACACACTCGGTAATGTGAAGGCCAAGATCCAGGACAAGGAAGGCATCATGCCTAACCAGCAGCGGTTAATCTTCACCGGAAAGCGGCTCGAGGATGGCCGCACCCTCGCCGATTACAACATCCAGACGGAGTCAACCCTCCACCTTGTCCTTCGCCTTCGCAGTGGTGCGAAGAAGCGTAAGAAGAAGACCTACACGAAGCCCTGAATAACAAGCACAAGAACGTCAAGGTCGCGAGTCCTGCAGTTCTACAAGGTTGATGATTCTAGAAAGGTCCAAATGGCTGGGCAAGGAATGCCCTAAAGCCGAGTGCGGCGCTGGTACCTTTATGGCTAACCACTTCGACAGGCATTACTGTGGCAAGTTCGGCCTCACCTATGTCTACTAGAAGGGGGTGATTAAGCTTTTTTTTTTTGTGAAACCTTTATTTTTTCCAATATTATTACATCTGTATTATTAAATTTAGCTTTTTGTTACTGTTTTGAATTGAAATGTTGTCGATTGCCTTCCATCTATGTTTAGTTTTTGGTTTGAAAAAAGCAAAGGAGGAGCAATGCAGATCATTGTGAAAACCTTAACGGGAAGATGTTCACCTTGTTGGTTAAACTGTTGTATACCGTTGAAAGATTGAAGGCAAAGATCCAATAAGAAATGCTAAAGGGTCAAATAGGTTTATGAACTAACTTAAAGTGTTCAATTAGCCCCATATTTAGGAGGTTCTGTCCGGCCGTAACCAATTGGGGTGGTTCCCGATGGAATTTTTTGAGGAAATGTTTTGAGCATCTTCTTCATTAAGTCTAGTTTACCCATATCAAATTTCAGCTAAAAATTAAATCGGGAAGGCAGACAAATGATTTTCCGAAATGTACTGCGCTGTTTAAATGCGCCGTTATCTTCAAAAAATCATTTGACTGCCTTCCTGGTTGAACATTTAGCTGAAATTTGGTATGAGTAAACTAGACTTAATGAAGAAGATGTTCAAAAAAATTTATCAAAAAATTCTACCGGGAACCGCCCCAATTGGTGACGGTCGAGCAGAATCTCCTATATAAGGGGCTAATTGAATATTTTAAGTTAGTTCATGTACCTATTTAAACGAAATGAATCCCGCCCCACCAGCAGCTGCTCTTCTTCGACTGCAAGTCCGCAACCGCAATTTGAAACCATGACCACAACATCCATCTCGTCCCAGCAGACGGGCACCGTTGCAGCTCCATCTCCAGGCCGAAGGGTTCGCACCTTTTGTTTCATTTTGGGGGCATCCGGTGTACTCTTTTTCCCTCATTAGGATTTTTTCCCACAGAGTTTTTCCTAATGAGGTTTTTAACGAGACATCTCCCCATCATGGATCAAAAGGTGTCAACCCTCGGCCCCCTGTTGAAGACATCATCCGACACGCATTACTCTACTCCTCTTCACCTCATTACACTCGCCTCAAGGAGTGGGGGACTGGAAGAGCGGGGGACTTAGCGCCTCCGTTAACCAAAAAAGCAGAAATTCAAATTTTTGTTCATGAAGTTTACTCACCAGACGGCGACAGATCAGCACACAGTTCTACTCTCTTTCGCCTCGAATACTCTCGACTCAGAGAGTGGGGGATTCCTGATAGAGTATATAGACTCAGACCCCTGGGTCTCATGACTACTGGGTCCGGACAGCGGCCCACACACATCTTACGGATATCATTTGTATTATTGTACTGCTTATATGTCATTTGTATGTAACTATGTACTAGATTAGTCTTTTATGTAGTTGGGCTACCGAGCCCATATTAGCGGCTCGACCCATTATTTCCCTATTTATACTCCTCTTGGAGCCATTTGTAACCCTAGAACATAAGTCTCGATACCACTATTCATCTTCTTCTCCACATTATTAAGCTCAATCTCTCCCATTTTATATATGTTTGGATACCCTATAATCCATCATCACCCCTTTTATAGAAGGTTTTGTTTGGCCGTCGCCATTTTGGGTGGTTACCGGTGGAATTTTTTGATGATTTTTTTAAGAATCTTCTTCATTAAGTCTAGTTTACCCATACCAAATTTCAGTTAAACATTCAAACAGGAAGGCAGTCAAATGATTTTCTGAAATATACTACGCTGTTTAACTGCGCAGTTATCTTCAAACATTTATTTGACTGCCTTCGTGATTGAATTTTTCGCTGAAATTCGGTATGGATAAACTAGACTTAATGAAGAAGATGCTCAAAATATTTCATCAAAAAGTTCCACCGGGAACCGTCTCAAATGGCGATAGGAGCCTCCTATAAAGGGTTGATTTGCACTTTTTCGGGTAGTTGAGAGCTTATTTGTCCCTTTTCCCATTACTTTTCAGCCCAATCCAATCCAGATTCCTGGATCCGCCCCTGCATAAGAAAAACCAGCTACATCTCTTCCAAAATACTTATAGAAGGTCCATGACGTGCATAATCTATTTGATTTTGGATTAGACAAACCTTGAATGAGAATGATGGATTACAAAAAGACGTGGAGAAATTTTCAATTTGTACTCAGGCACTTTGTATTACAAATATACCTTCTCTCTTTCTATAGAGGAGTTATTGTAACTTGGAGTACTTGTTTCGTATTTCATTCATTAGCGTTTCCCTACATGAACCAAGTGTTTGTATGCTTTCATTAGCCTTTCTACTTTTAATTATCATCTAATTTGATTTCAGCTGTTTAAGTATTGTTTTAATCAATAACTGAAATAAGTCTAAGTAAAAACATCATTGAGACGAAAAACAATCATGAATTCATGGATGGATGTAGCCGGGAAGAAGTTTATTACGGCACCCATAGTCACTGTTGCAGACCAAATGATAATGAGTGGGCTGAAAAGAACATAATATAAAACTAAACCATTAACCATTCGTCTTCTCTCTCGCTGCATCCTATCATCTCTCCATTAAGTCACCGCTAGTATGTCTTCCGGTCACTAGCCCAGGGATATATCCAGGATTTTGAGTAAAGGGGGTGAATTTTTATTCTGATAGTGTAGGGGCGAAGCTTTTTTCGTTAGTGCAGAGAGAAATTTTTTCGCTAGTGTAGCGGGGCGGATTTTTCCGCTAGTGTAGGACTTTGGGGCTATTTTTATACAAAAAAATCCACTAATACATACACGATGAGATTTAAGTAATTAAATCTATTGTTTTCTAAGTTTAGACAATGGAAAAATAATTTTGATTTTATAATTGAAGTGTTCTAGAAAAAAGTATTGACACATTACAACGTAAGAAATGGAAAATCAATGAAAATTATTTGAAAATATATAAAAAATGACATAAAACATTTTATCAAATTATATGAAGATAAGGACTTTAAAATGTGCACATCCACCAATACTTTTTGAATAACTATTGTCTTATTTAGCCACATGAACCTCATTGGAATAAAGATTTGGATTTTAAATTGTAATTTTTGTCTACCAAGGAGGATGTTCGTGAGTGATGGATAGTCTACCCGGGGGTATATATCCGAAGGGTTATTACGGGGAATAACTTAGAGAGAAGTCAGAGCGAACAAGTAAGAGAGAGAGTGTATATTCGATATGTATTAAGCGTGTTATCACTTTTCAGCGTGGTTACAAATGGGGAAATGAGGTGCTATTTATAGTAGCAATAAATGCCGGGCAGGGACACGTGTCAATCGCTCATTGGCCGAGGGGTCACCTCAACTGGTTGGTGCTGGCAGCCGCATGTGGCCGCATTTAATGCGGCTGTTGGATGGGATGTCTGTACGGGGTACGGTGATCTGTACGCATGTGAGGCAGATATCTTGTCGAGTAAGGTGCCTTCGGCCATAGAGCAGTAGCCGAGGGCTCTTCCTTCCCGATGGCACCCCTGGTGCCGAGGGCTCACAGTGCCGAGGGCTACTGTTTTCGCCGTTTTCTCCCAGTTTCTTAGTTTTCTTGAGAAACCCGCTCTGTGATAATTTGGAGCCTTCGGCCAGGGGGCCGAAGGCACCCCTGTGCGTTGTGCGGACTGCTTGGTACTCTGGGCGCTGTGACTTTCGCCTGT